AGAATTAATGGGTCAAGCCGAGTGTTGGTAATTAATTGTCGGCGAAGTCTTGATGAAGACTGGAGACAGTCTGGCGCCAGTGGCACTGATTGGAAAGCAAAGGAAACCATTCACACGTTGATGGTATCCTGTCTCTTTCGGTCTATCTATCTATACCTGGTTTATTCATAAATAGACTGTACATATCATTACAAAGTCAATGATTTGACCATGGTTTAATACACAGTCTTTCTAGACTTTGTTTTTGCATATTTACCTGTTGTTTTTCGATACGTTTGTTTTAAAATGTTGAAACTTTGAGGCTGGTTATCAATATAAATTAAGAAAAACTGATTTATGGCACGATTCTTATTGTAATTCTACTATTAATTTTTGTTTTTAAACGTGTCGGTGAAATGAATATCTTAATTTATCAAAGTGATAACCATCTATGATCAACAGTCTGTTATTCAACTTGGCCAACCGTCAACAGAGAAATCGCTATGGATGAGTTATAACAATCCATTGATTATCTGTCTGTTTCTTAACTTTTTTCCTTCTCCAGAATAAGTTTTTCATATCTGTAACCAATCCTACGATTCAGACTTTTCAATATTACAGATCCGATTCCAAAAACAAATTCGATATAAATTTCAAACCCTCAGGTCTGGGTGACTACCTCCCTCCCGGCAGTTCCGACTTTTTATAGAGCTCAAGTCAACAACAAACAGAAATCAACAACGATTCTCACTTTGTTTCTTGTTTTGAACATTGACTTCTTTTTATATTTGAATACATGTATTCTGAAATCATATTAGAAGAAAATTATTCTCTTTGAAGTCTGTGAGCAGACTATTTTGAAGGAACAACATGAAATACCTATCAAAAAGCACTTGACGGGAGGACAACCCGCCACAAAGCGCACTTGTGTGTATGTATTTATTTTCATCGTTCCCCTGCCCGCCTGTCTCGCGCTCGTTCATTTCACCAGATGGAATCGTGGAGCCAGTGTCGCGTAGATTTGTGTGGTACGGGTCAAAATGTGTCCGGCCTGTTGATAAGAGTGCGCTTGGGTGGGAAAATGCCAGACACCGTGATACAGGTATCATAAAGGTGCATTTAAAACAAAGGTTTTCCATCGTTCACCTCCGAGAATTAAAATAAATGTTTAGATTCTGTTTTCGGACGTTATTCTAAGTAATGCACTTCAGGTTAGATGCTCAATTTAATGTTGAATATCCTTGCTATTCCATTTTCGGCTACAGAACTTAAAACATTGACAATTACAATCTTCAGGATCTAGGTTTATAGTAGTTATTCAAATTTCTTTCATGGAATAAGTAGATCTACTAAAAATCTAACAAAGCAATGATAAATATACTAATTTTCGTAATGGAAGAGCAGTGGGTGATGAAAACGTGTTACAGAACAGGCGCAGGTAATCCAAGGACGCTTTTTACACGGAGCGCACGATTTACGGTGACTGCGGGCGGCGCCGTGTCGCATATTGATTCTCGACTGGCGACACCTCGGCGCCAGCTGGCTATTGTGAATATTTCTCAAATAATCCAGGTGTACCAGCACAAAGTGAGCCCCGCATGGGACACTCAAAGGTAACATTGTGTTTCTCGTTGCGTTCAATGTGTACTCTCGTATTGGCTCAAAAGATTTGAGTCACTGGTGATTATTACCCTACAAATACATTACTCGCAGTCTGTTTTTTTTTTCTTCGTAAAAACTAAAAATGAAAGGCGGGACTATTTTGGCTTTGTAATTTATCGCAAAGAAATGCTTTTTTAGAAAGGGAAGAGAGAGAAGAAATTAACAGCGACATGTATTTCTGGTAAAATACATGAGGAAGGGAATAATCATTACCGTTTATTACCTGAGAAACTACTAATAGATAACATTCGGAAGCATATTTTTTCCCTTTTATTTCTTTCTATTACCAGGGGAACGAAATGTTACATTCTTATTCAACTCCTGTTCTTTATGGGAGTGTGATTCTGAATGACACTGTCTAGCTTTATCTATAAATCTACTTTAATGGCCTAATCTTTCAAGGTGCGTGTAATTAGAGCACAAACTCAGATATGGGCCTACATCCTGGATCTTTCATTCAAATCAGTATTGTATAGTCTGCAATGTTTTTATCTTTTAGTACGTTTACCACCTCAATTTAAGGGATAATCAATGGTGAAGTTTGAAATCGTGTTCTCCTATTTATCTATACCCTGTCCAAAGACAAAGATCCGGCATATTCTGATGACAAGGTGCAACGTTACGGTCGTGAAGAATGAACAATGCTCAGTCAGTAACTCTCTATCAAGGATGTGTTACAGGAACATATTCTGTATTATGAAGATAATGCATGTTTCGGCTCTTAAACAACGAAAAAAAAAATTCCACAGGTTATTCCCTAAACATTTCTTTGTCGGGGATTGTATTTGAAACTACGAACAATTTAAACTTACAACATACATATTTAAAACAGCTGAAACAAACTCCAGTTAAAATTCTAGTATTCTACCATGAGTATTTTGAAGGATCGTACAAAGAAATGATCTCGGTAAATGCTCTTTGTTCAACGTGCACTCTTGACCATCGTGATAATAATTATGTAAAACGCCCTTTGCGTGGTATTTTCCTGGGGGTGTTTGTTCCCTTGTCCTATTCATTCAACAATAATCCCTCTGTCCATGATCAGACACCTGCCACTCAGTGGGGTCAATTAAAATCTTGATTACCTCCTTGAAATCATTAGTCACTAATCTCATACTAATCCCCAATATTGGGGAACAATAATTGATACATACTCAACAGTTAAATACCTTCCTTGAAAAGAATGTTCCGGGATGGGGTATATTCGTTAGACAATCGGAGATACAGGAACAGCACAGATTGTATAAAACAAAGCCACTTTGGGTTTGCGTCACCTGTCCTTGTACACAAAACAACCTAATTTCATGAAAAGAACAGGATCTCAATTTCGACATGATTATAGAAACTTTCCCTATACACTCTATCAGTATAAAAAAGAGGACATACCTGAAATGACAAAGGTCCATTATTATTACCTTGAAATGTAAAAGAAACAGTGAGCGTACGGAGCTCTTAAATAAGTTAAAATCACCTATGGAATGTGATGACAAACAAAAGTGATTGGGGTGTGACTACCTGCTAATCATGTATCGTGCATGATGAACTTTGAAAGGTATTGTGGTGTTTATCATTGAGTGCCATCGTTGCTCGACGTCGAAAGTATTATTTTTGTACTGTAAAAAAAAGTCTCAACCCAAGTTCAATCTAAGAAACCAATAACAAATCCCATGCGTGGAATTACCTTGCGAACGCTACGAGAAACCAAAGCTAAATATTCGGGCTCAAACGAGGATCCATGTGTTGAAACTAACACATCCTCTGGGAATGCGTCGCGGGCTTCCGTCGTTTATCTAGCGGTGGGAGGGGCATGTTGTCATGGTGACGTGGCGCCACTCGGTCGGGGGATCTCCACCGATAGGCAATCATGTTTGGTTATCCTGTTTACAATGTACACAGCACCAACAGTAGTGACAGGAAAACTACAATTTCGCTAGACCTTATCTTCCCTTTTTTCTTTCCCCTGCACTCAATTGAAAAATGCGTGTAACAAAATTCATTTGTAGGCTGGTATGTCTAAATTTCATTGTCGATTCCTACATTAGGAGCTTTGAATTTGAAAACAAATTACCTGTGTGTACGAGTGTTGGCGTGTCAAATGTAGAAAACGGCCTGAGAAATAAAAATGGGAAATTCGATTATGTGCAATATTAACTGTTGCAAGAATGTCCTTACCATGCTAAAATTTACGCGAAAATACTCTTCATAATCAAGGACGAACATTTAAAGGGAGGCACTTTTATAAACATGCTAAGCGTTCTGAATAGCGTTTTTAATATTTATTTTTTAAAAGGTTATTGCTGTTTTGTCATAATGTCTAACTATGCGCTAAATAACTTTTCTATCGGACAAGTTAGTGAAAGCCTTAAGTGTGAAATATTGAAGCAATATTAAATTGAAAGTTTTCTTTTTTTCACTTCATGAATTAGAGAGGGGAGAAATATACGATGACTGACATTGTCTGCCTTCGGAATTCTTTACGGCTGTCATCTCTGCTTGACTGGAGCTGACAATATTTCGTGAAGGATGGTTGATTAGAAAGAGAGAGATATTTTTTAATGGGAAACGAGGAGAAAAAAGGAAAAACAGAAATTGGATGGTTGATAATGTGAAGAAAAGAGCCAAGCCAATCACCTGCCTACAATGCTAGCATTGCTCACATGTGACGACTAATAAGCGCTGCCTTTGTGGAGGCCAGTCAGGTGTTTGAGCTTTATCAGGTTAATAATTCATGAGGCGTAGGGTAGCGATCTAGCAGACGACTGACTGAATGGGGCTCAGCTCGGCCACTCAGACACAGTGGCGCCGCCCTGCAAGGTGGGTCTTTTCTTCACTACCCCAGCCTGTATGCGCAGGTGCTTTGTGGCCCGCACCAGGCTGGAGCCAACGAATTTTCTTCTTATTGTTTCCGCGGCTGAAGGCATGACAAACAAGACTCCCTTTTTAACACTTTAGGGGTTGGCTAACAATATTTTTAAAAAGACATTGTCATAGAGAAGGGGAGAGGAGGGAAAATTACTATTGGGAACAATTACTTGATATGTGTATGTGGGTAACTATAAAGCGAGGCAAGCAGAATCGCAGTAGCATGTACATGCTCTCGCGAAATAATGCTGTGTTTTTCTTCCTATTTTTAATCTAATCTGGTAGTATACCTTTTGTTTGCAACCATTGTATTTCCATAGTAGTACATCAATTGACTTTCCGCTACTAGACTTTTCCACTTGGTTGGTTATAAGCTGTTATGTTTCATCATCGCAACTAAAATCGTACAAACGAGTTTTTTTCTTCTTCAAGAGCTGATTGTCGATGTTAACACACAGCTTTTGATCTTGATCCTCTTTTCTTCACGATAAGACAACTCGACTGTTATAATAAGGTGTTTGAAGGAGATAGTGTCATCTTGCATGAATGACCTCATTCAAAATAGCTTCCTCGATCTCAAGAGGGGTGGGACACAGAGAAAGGAGTTGAGCATCTTGCGCTGATGACCGGGAGAAGTGATCACCTCCGCCTTTTAATAGTACCGCTGAATGGCTTTTGTCCCTCTCTTGTTCTCGAGGACAAAACCCCAGACTTCGTGTCTCTGCCCTCGTTTTGCGCTCCGCCAATCCTTCTCAATCTGTCCTCAAGTCACCGGCGCGACAACAACTTCACTCCGCTCTCTCTCCCTCTGAGCTCTGCTCTGCTCTGTATTTATCTTGTCTCCTGTCCAACAAGAGCCGCCCATTAGAGTAAGCTCACGACATTCATGTGGGTTTTTCTCTTCATCTTTTCTTTTGGATTTGAAGCTGTGGATTTTTACTCGAGGCTCCAAGGAAGTGTTACTTCGACTATATCTCTCTTCGTCGGAATATATACCACCAATTATTGAAAGCAGTTGTTTCACCTGTAGTTCAACTTCTATATTTTGATTGTGCAGTGTTGAACAACTTAACACCTCATCGCAGTATTATATTAATTAGGATTAAAATTTCAGAAGACTTCTTGAGGAACATTATCGTCCAGAGTTCATCGACCGTTCCAGTTTTGAAATTCGTTTTCAACAGATCTATTCGCAGCTCATTAGTGACCAGTGGTGACCTGGAGAGAAACATTATTATGTTATCAGTTTGACATTTACCTGTGCAATTACAGAAACATCGTCACAACTGATTGTGATTTTGGATTCAAATGAGTGGAATTTTTCCCTGAAACATTTCGTGTGCATGACTTTGGAGACGCTTGTCGGCACCCGTCAGTGGTATGGTGATGAAGTATCATTACCTCCAATACAGGCGGCGTTTGCATGCCTCAGGTACGGCAGCTTTCTATCTCTCTCTCTCTCCCTCTACTTCGCTGTGTCGGGCTCGGGACGCGCAACTAATCAAACGCCAATTCAGTCTTTCCTGAATTTTTAATTGAAACGTAGTCATTTTCTTGCAGGATTTTGAGAATGATCCTCTAATATTATTGTTTGTGTATAAATATTTTGTTGGTTAATGAAAAAATGTGAACATATTTGTTTTTTACTTGTTTTTTGAAGTGTAGGTCTGTGTGTTTATTTTATCTTATTTTCATAATGGACTGTCCAGGAGGCTTAACTTTTCATTGTTTTATTTGAAAAAATCAAAAATGATGTTCCATTTACACGAAAGCATATAAATTTAGTAAGTCGCATGTTTTGACATGAACTGGAATATGTGTCAATTAGATCTTTAATCAGTGTTTTTGATATTTATATCTCCACAGTTGACATTGATGGAAACCCCAAAGGCATGACTCAAGCGATCCTGGCAGATGGTAATGACCCCATATCTCCCAGCCCGGAGAATGGTTACCATAGCAACAGCTCCACCATCGAGGACAGCGATGGAGATGACAAGGGAAGCTTCATGGGCGACGAAGAGGACGACGACGAGGTTGAGATGGACAAGAGTACGAGCGATGGGGACAAGGATGATGGGGTAGATGACTTGGAGCCGGATAAAGAGTTCCACCGGAAGAATGGAATGCATCACCTCCATCCCCATCCCCCTCCTCACCCTCATCACCCTCATCAATTCAGGAATGGAGAGATGGGAGGAGACGGTGGTGTCATCAACCTGGAGGATTACATGAACCGCAGTGATACAGCAATCATCTATCCTGAACCTGTAGAAGACATGGACGGAGTCAATGGCGATACAGATGACCCTGATACTCCTGGTAGGTTTCAAACCATTTTTCTCCTCCTCTAAAATAAGGGAGTAGAGGATGAACTGATCTGGATCAGCCTTTTTGGGGGGTTTTCCAGACCAGTCAGCCCCCCTCCCTCAGACCATCGTAGACCTTGGCAGTGAACTTTTTACTAAGTCGGACACATTATTTAGAGACAGAAATCAAAGCAACATCCTTATGTGAACGTGTCCAAAGTTATGATACATCTCAAAAAGAAAGTGAAACTAGATATCTCTTTTGGCTGTGTTCATGCAAACTGTATTGTTGTTCTGTCTTGCCCCCTTCCCCCTCTCACCCTCTTTGTGAATGATTCCTCACGTTCTGCTGGGATTTTGAGGGATAGATTATTGCTTGATTACCCTCATCTCCAGCATCCTTAGGTTAGACATGAGATCAGTATCAGTAGGTGGATGGGATCAGTACACGAAGTACCTTAACCCCCACAAAGAGATCAAGTTCGCACTAATCCTCCTGTTCCTTCACAAGGGAGGAGTTCACATTGACATAAATTGTTATGAACTTGAGTAACATAAGTCCATTCATATTTTCATTTCAAAGTGTTTTGTTAGCCTAAGGTCTTCTTTCCTGTTCAGCACTCCTCCTTTTTTTTTGGACACAAATTTGAAGAATGTTAAGGCTGACTCATAATGAACAGCAAAGCATAAAAGTTTTTTCATATGATGTAGGGGTTGGAGGGATAATGAGAGAGCTTTGTCTAACTCTGCTTTAAAAAAATCAACTACAAATTATTTTGGAATTTCTCTTCCATCTTAAATTCTCATCAATCAGAACGTGCAGTGATTTTTTGTGTGAACACATCCAAAACAAGATGCTCTGAATAGACAAAGCAGTAGACTAGCGAGGCTACCCGTTGCACACAATCGGTCTTATCTCAATTACTGCTGCACATCAAGAAACAAAGAAACAGAATATATCATAATGGCCTCGAACATAGTCACCAAAAGGATCAAGGGAAGGGATAAAAAGTGTCGTGTGACAGATGGAGAAGGGAGGCCAGCAACAATTTCATTTTTTTTTGTAATAACATGTACAAATAGGGGCTAAGTGGCGAGTTCCTGTCATTTTGTATGTAGAATTATTGCATTTGAGGGATTAAGGGTGGCTGACAGATGTGCATGACAGATGAAAAATGAGAATGTTCCCTTGCTAGTACCTGGAAATGGGTATTTGTGACATGATTGGTAATTAGATAACAATAAATGACAGTGAACATGATGATGATATAGTTTCTCACTTTTGCTGAGTTTGATGGGGATATCAGACTAATAAATCATAGTTTCCCCTGATCAATAACTTTTGTTCTGTTCATTGCTTGAATAGTTAAGTGCCAGTTCAATAAAAAAAAAGGGGGGGAATTCAAAAGAGAATTTCATATTTGTGTATGATGCACTTTTAATAGATATCATCCTGTATTTTGCCACTTCTGTGAGTCTGAACAATTAGTTCAACCTTTCTCCCTTTTGTTGTAATGGACATTGGTTGATAATATTTTTTACATCAAAATCCCATTCTTTTCCCTTTTTAAATCATATTTGTTATAATTGAAACTACTGGGTGATATGCAGTTGAGATGTATTGTTTATTACTCTAATGTAAGCGAAAGCAATCGAAAGGTGAATACCCATTATCCCCAGGCACTTGAACAACTTTGAATAAGGTGAAACAAATATTTTATATACAGATTTTAAGTCAAGTGGGTATAAAAGTGAAAGTGCTATTACCATTTTATTAGTAATAAAGGCATTTTGATAGGTCTCTGTTAACCATAGGTGGAAGTGAAAGGAGAGATATTGCTACTCCAGATGTTTAACTTTAGTTTTTATGGTAAATTGAGGGGATTGTTTATAAGAGGTGTGACAATGCAAATGATCAGGAAATGTCACTCATTTTTCTTTGGTGTTCTTTTTCTCTTTTTATTACAGAAGGAAATGACAACGAAACTGAAATTGAGGGCGAGCTTGGAAAACCTGAAGACTGTCCTTACTGTGATCGCTCATATAAGCGGCTCACCTCCCTGAAAGAGCATATCAAATACCGACACGAGAAGACATTCAACAACTTTTCTTGCCCAGAATGCAACTACTGCTTTGCCTACAAGTCCCAGCTAGAGCGTCATATGGCCACGCATATGCCAGGGCGCAACCAAATCTGCGACATCTGCAATAAGGCCTTTGTGAACATTTACAGACTGCAGCGTCACATGTTGACGCACACATCTGGGAATCGCAAGTTTAAGTGTGGGGAGTGTGGAAAGGCTTTCAAGTACAAGCATCATCTCAAGGAGCACTTGCGTATTCACAGCGGAGAGAAACCTTACGAATGTCCAACTTGCCTAAAACGCTTCTCGCATTCTGGATCCTACAGCTCTCACATAAGCAGCAAAAAGTGCTCACCTGTGAAGGAACAACCTCCAGCCCTCACCAGGATCACTGGTGTTCCTCCAGTCAAAGTAATCAATAGCCTTCCCTCGCCAGTTTTGCAATCTCCTCTCAGTGACATAGACACTAGTGAATCTCTACCTTTAACTGAGCCAAAGAAGAGTGCCCCAGCTTACATGACTCCTCTTCACATCAAGATTCCCAATGTTGACGGTTCTGTTCAGGGTCACCCGAGCAACGAAACACTGGAGAATGGAAGCACATCTCCTTTAACAAGTCCTGCAAGTGATGCTGTGAAGAAGGTTCTACAAATTGTAGCATCTACTGTGTGCAAGCAACAGAAGGACGGGCAGAAAACAGACATCTCAAAACTAAAGAAAACAAAGACAACAAGTGACACAGCCCCAGTTGTCGCAAGTCCGTTTGAAATCAGACCATTTAAACTTGAAAAAATGGCAGCTGTTACTCCCTTGCCAAAGGCAACACCACCACCACCATCATCTGAAAAGACACCTGAAAAGACACCTGAAGAATCAGAAAAGTCCAAAACATTCTTAAATGGAAATGGTGTGCATCAAGAGAAGAAAAGTTATAACATTGTGGACTACACTCTAAAGAAAGTGCATGAAGCTCAAGCTATTAATCGCTGTTTGGAAACACGTTTTCCTTCTCAGATTAACCTAAATCCAGACAGAACAGGATGCAAGTATTGTGGACGAGAGTTCCATAGTCCCATCGATCTTCATCAGCACGAGCGTTATCTCTGCGACCTCAATGAGGATGTGCTCAAGATGAAGCTCTTTAATGGCAATCCACAGCCCCAGCAAAGCATTGGAAATTTCACATTAGATCGATATTACGAGATGCAGCAAGAGTTCTTGGCCCAACACAAAAACGAGAGTGATAACCATGAAATAGATGACAAGAGTGATGAGGAGGATGAAAACCCAAAGCAGATGATGATGTCACCAAGAGAGAGTGAACAGCACCTGTCTCCAAAAGCCAGCCCCAATTCAGGAAGTCAGCTACCCCCTAACAATGCTGAAAGCCCTGAACCAGAGGCTAACAAGACAACTGATATATCTAAGTTACTTGAGACCATTTCCAAGGCCCAAGAACAGGCCCTGCGTGCATTCTATGCCATGCAAGCTAAGCCCTCGGAGGACGGCATCGAAAAAATTTCAGTAGCACTCAATTTGCCTATGCAGCTAGTCAACAAGTGGTTCCAGCGCACACGTAAGCTCGAGGAGGAGGGGACGGATCCATCGCTTAAGAGCTTGAGCTTAATGAGGCAATCCCCAGTTGTGACAGTTGTTCCACCCACACGACGACGCATCAAAGAACACACAGGAGCTCAAGCTATCGATAGCAAGGAGACTTGTGTCAAATCCCCGGCGGAGAACTGCGATTTGGAAACGGCTTCAGTCAGCAGCAGCAGCGCTGAGAGAGTGGGTGATGCCGATAGCCTCCCTCCTTCCCCATGCAGCAGTATTAATTCCCTACCTAAAAGTTCCATCAGATACACCTTTCACAAAGAAAAAAGCATGGATGTCAGCCCAGCAGGTCGTGAGACTGAATCCAGAGTACGTGAGCGATTAGAGCCCATGGATAGAGATAGTCGATCCCCTGCGAGATCTCTGACACCAGCCAAGGAAACAAGAGACTCTTCTCCTCTCGATCTTTCTCTGCCAAAGAGGAAAGCAACACCTCCACCTTCTTTGAGCAGGTCTTCCATCCCACCCAAACTGGTTTACGGCTACAACTACTCTGCACTCTATTCTGCCGCTGCAGCCGCTGCTGCCAATGGATACCTTCTTCCTCCTGCATATGCGCCATCTGAGCCACTCCCTTCCAGCCTCTATGAGAACAGCATCAAAGCCCACAAGAGCAGGACTAGCCCAAGCCCTGGCAAGACGACCACACCCTCCTCCACAGCTACCACCAACACCTCATCAGCATCAGATGCGAGCATCCTCCTCAAACGTTCCTACCCCGAGCCCCTCTATGCTTACCTCCCCACCATGGGTGGCTATGCTGCCAAGAGGATGAGGTTTGCTGATGGAGTAGATTACCCTGTGGCTCCTCCACCGATGTATGGCTCTCATCTTCAGGTACCAGATGTCTACAGTGCCCTGGCTAAGACAGGTTTCATGCCCAGTACCATGGCTCATCTGGGCGCTGCCTATGGACCAACCAATCCTTTCTTGCCTGCAATGCTCAACGGGGGTGGTCTCCATCCAAACCATGGTAAGTTTATGGATTTTTTGTTTTATGCATTTAAATTGAAACTAGAACTTGTCTCTAAACTATCTTGATAACTCAATATCATTTACAATACATCAAAGAGTAATGTTTATTTTAACTTGTCGTCCAATAACTTTGTAGAGAATATAGTCATGGAAAATAGTAACTATTTGTTAACATGGGCATAATGTCATATTGCAACAAGAAATAAATCCATGTAAAGAATATAATTGAATTAAGAAATTCATAATGCATAGAATAGGATTTGTATCAATTTATGCTGTAATAACGAATGCTGTTGATGAGGTAATAACTAATAAGTAATCATTTATTTTGTTATCAATTAACAGCAGGAGCTGACAATTTATCTGACATTGCATCGGAAGACTCGCTGAGCGACATCGGCATCGGACCTGGAAGACGGAGGAGATCGGACAAGCCATCCAGGACCTCCTCAGGACAGTACGCATGTTCGCAGTGCCCCAAGACCTTCCAGAAACACAGTTCATTGCTTCGACATGTCTACGAGCACTCAGGTACTTAACAAAGAAGTAAGCCATTTTCTAGAAATTGGAATATCATCTTCTTCATCACCATAACCCACTTTTCAAACAATTCAAGCATTGTCTTTCTAAAGCATAAAAACTTCGACTGTAAGAACATTGAAATAACCTTTTTTTCTCTCTTGAATGTAATTCTTCAAAAAAAAAAGAACCTGCAGTTTTTATTTCTTAAAGACTGCACACAATTTATCATCAAAAAGATGATTTTGTTGTTGTTGTTGATTGAAGTAACAATATACAGTCATATTTTAATTTCATCATGAATTATTAAAATAAATTGATCAAACATAAAATGTGGAAAAAAAATTATAATTAATTTACAAATAAGGGTAATACCCTCAAAAAGCCTCATTATGAGGACAAAGGGTTTGTTTGAAGAAAATGATGTTAAAAAATGGTTTTAGACAATAGTCACGCAAAATGCTAATAAGTGTTTTGGCAACAGACCTGCATTTTGCATGACTAATGCACAATTCATTGTTATCTCCCACGAGCAAAATCCTCTTTAAGCAGAGACTAATGATAGCAACAAACAACACAAAAATATGGTAAAGCACCATTGAGATACTATCTCCTCGTATCCAAAGCATCAAATTATAAGCAGTGGGGGAAAGAGCAGATGTTATTCTATGTCACAATTGTAGGTTGCTTAGATCTGTAGGAAGTCGAAATGCAAGTCACTTTGAATGTACCTTGGGTGTAAAGCCTCGTTCAAGATCATGTCTTTTCCTAGCAGTAGCAATAGACAAGGTTGTGATTTTGATAACACAGTCTATGACCTTAACCTAACCATGCACTGTCGCTTTGTCATAGAGTAACAGATGGGGCACTTTTACAAGTTCAATTAAAGTGTCGCAAATGTCATTTTATTCTTTGAGATTAGGTTAATTTCCAAACATTAATCATACTCTAGAAAATCAGTAGTTATCAATAGCAAGGGAGAAACTTTAATTTGAGATATATATTGTTAGTTTTTTTTCTTCAATCATAACCACCTATCTTTCTTCTGAAATTTCAAAAACATTTAAAGACTGGTTAGGGATAAACCCACATATTTTTTTGAGATACTCCTAATATGGAACATGAATTCTTGTATGACTCATTTCCATTTGACTGAATTGAGATTTTCTCACCTTTCCCCTTTCCTGTTTATGAATATTAGTCCATTGTTACAGTTTTGTTCAAAGATTTCAGAGTACTAATTTTAGTTTCGCATCTCATTTATTATTTTTTATAGGCAAGCGCCCTCACCAGTGCAAGGAATGCGGCAAAGCTTTCAAGCACAAGCATCACCTGATGGAGCACTCTCGCCTCCACTCCGGAGAGAAACCCTACCAGTGTGACCGATGCCTCAAGAAGTTCTCACACTCAGGCTCTTACAGTCAGCATATGAATCATCGCTACAGCTACTGCAGGCGTGACGCCATGGGCGCCGCCGGTGGACCTCACCTGGATGGTCCGGAGAAGGAGATGCTGGGCGATAGCAAGGAACCGATGATGATGGATCATCACCACCAGGGTGGCGGAGACGAGATGGAGATTGGATTGGAGAGTACAGGTGCTATGATTAGGAGGATGGAAGAGAAGCAGATCGCTGGGGTCTAAGATGAAACTCGAAAGGCATCGAAGAAGATTTGCGGTGATGATTGATAATGATCCAGAGGGATCCAAGTATTCTTTCAATTTAAAAGGATTCAGGGGTGTCATTCTAATGGTTTGTGGAATGTTTGAACTTGAAGGTACTTCAGATTGTATGTTATTGATTTATATTCATTAACATTTGTGTTATGGTGAAGTTGTCTGAAAACCTCATTGGAACTTGATGGAGTTATGATAGTTATGCTTGTTTGCACCTGTTCCCAAATTGACATATTGGCGAGAAAAAAAACACACAAAATTCTGGCTACCGGTATATGCCTCATTTCCCTTCAAGTAAAAAGCTGATGAAACGTTTTAAGACCTACCATGTGATGATATGATTGGAGGGGTATTATTGTAAAAGTTGAAATATTTAAAGAAGAGTTAAATGCAATATGTGTATTTTCATTGAGACAGCCAAGGTGTCTAGTAAACTTGTGTGTTTTCATTATTTTGTCTTCGAAAAAATAAATAGAATAATTACAGTATCTATTTTGAAAGACGATAAAACATATTTTTTGATAAATGAAGAGAAGGAATAAGAAGTCAAACTTCACGTGGAAAAGCATGTAATTTGAATAAATCTTTAACAATTGAAGTATTTGAACAAAACTTTAGGGATATATTTATAGATGAAAGGATAAGGAAAGTAAAAGAATAATACAAGCTTGATTGTGAAGAGGGGGCAAGATGGAGTACATATGTGAAGTATATATATGTTGACAATTTATGTACTACTCTTGCTTTGCTTCTACGTGATGTATATATGATCAGTACAATGATAGATAGATAGAGACTTCGATATTTTTGCAATTTGAGCAGTTATTTAAATAATGAGAAATGACTCGGTGATTCACAAATCCACCTTTCACATCTTCTTCCACACTTTCACCAATATCTGAATTATACAAACGAATCACCAAACTTTAATGGTCGTACTTGATGAGTACTGTAGTGTGTTTCTTTGAGAGGTTGCTATGAAAGTACATGGCATAGAAGTTTTTTTTTAATGTCTACCAGTATTTTTTTTGTACTGAAAATAAGTTTGTCAGATAATCAAGGTGTAGGGTCCTATACCTACACCATCATTGTGCAATCTTCGAAATCTGACAGATAAATTGCTGTGGGCCCTAGCTGTTTTACCTACGCAAAATATATTCTCTTGGATGGGAATGGATATTACATGGACAACTGAAACACATATTTCGATATTTTTTGTCTTCACAGTTTGAGTTGAATGATCATGTCTTCTTTAAAATGCCATTAAAGAATTTTTCTCTTAAATTCTAATTTCAATTTTATTTTATGATCCCTCTAAGAAACATAAATTGTTGTCTAGTTCACTTTTATCTGTCTTTTTTTTCTCTTTCTCTCGCTCTCTCTCTCACTTTCTCTCTTTCTCCCCACCAATCTCCTCATCATCAGTATTTTTTAAGGATTAACAATTTAGAAATACATTTGTTTTGGTACCTTCCATGGAACACTTGGCTAGGGTGATCCCCCCCCCCCCCAGTCACATCTTTGTGACACATAGGACCTTGTAAGATTATTGTTAATTCATAGTTCATGTTAATTTCAGTGTTTTGTCTTGTGTTGTTTTTGTTTCACTGTAAGAATAGTTCAGTATTTGGGTATATAGGTTGTAGATTTTGTTTCTATTTTCACAGGGGAAGAATCTTAAACAAAATACTTCATATCTTCCATGCATGACTATTTCTTATTTTTTGAATTATTTTCTGTGGTCCTTTTTCTGTAAATTTGTATTTCAAAGTTGCCACTGGGTATATTGGGTAATGATGTACATGAAGTTGTGTATAAACTTATTTATTCTTGTTGATGTGTAACTATTTATTCAAAAAACATGTAAGATATTTGTTCAAGAAACAAAAAAGAGTGGGCCTCTGATTTTCTTTTTTCTATAGGTGGTCCAGCCTATTTATGTATTGTAGCAATGTTGCTATTTTGAAACAAAATAAAGTCACGAAAATGTACCTTTATTCTCTTTGAATTTTTTCTCATGTTATCTTGTGTTCCAAGAAGTTTGAATTTAGGTATAGATGGTGTTTGTTGGAAAATAGTGATGAAGATAATGATGATGAATTGATGATGATATTGATGATGATAATGATGATAATGAAAATGATGATGATTATGGACAACGTTACTCTTCTTTTCATCCAAGATAAAGTTTCACGAGACCGTCCTATGTTCAAGTTCACCGACATCCCATTACAACGCATGTTAAATTTGGACGAACGTGTACTTACGACGGTCTTCTGAAACACTGTCCAACTAAATGGGCCGACAAGGGGAACAACAATTTAATTTAAGTAGATGGCGCAATTCATGAAATTCCCATCGCCACATTCACGTGAACCCGTGTAGGTTCATTTATACTGACATTTTATTCCTCGATCTTCCAAAATCATAAAGTGGCTAAATTCATACCAAAGTTCATACAATTATCAATTTTAATAAGCTAAATAAATTCAAGATTGTATAACAAACATTTCCATTCAATTGAATATATTTCAAGCTGAAATAAACATACCGTATTCATGCAGTTTAAGGTAATTATCAAGTTATGAACATCGAATGAGTGAAGGGGAGAGGGGGAAACTAGAAGGAGAGGAAGAAGAAAAGAAAGAGAGAGAGAGAGAGAGAGAGAGAGAGAGAGAGAGAGAGAGAGAGAGAGAAGAGAGAGAGAGAGGGAGAGAGAGAGAGAGAGAGAGAGAGAGGGGTGGAGTAACGAAATAGTGAGATTGAAGAGAAAGGGGAAGAGGTGAGGGATATTTTAATTTATTAAAAAACTGCGAATTGAAAGTGATACTGTCAAATCGTAACAAACCATATCATGAGAAAAAATAAGTTCTGTCTGAATTTATCATTCATCATCATTGATTGAAATATAATACTCATATGAAAGAAAGAAAACCCTTCTCTTAGGACACACGTACAGAAAGATAAAGATTAAAGGTCATATAAATACAGGGGCGTACGCAGGATTTTTCCAAGGGGGGGGGGGGGGGTTTTAAAATATTTTGCTCCCGAAAATTTGAAAATCGCGCAGGCCGAAAAGTCGTTCAGTGGGAGGGTGGGGGGGGGGGGGGGGGTGGAGGGGGGGGGGGGGGGGGGGGGGGGGGGGGGGGGGGGTAAACGGACACTTTTTTTTTTTTTTTTTTGGTCTCGAAATTTCAAAATTTGACATTTTTTGTCGTTGGGGGGGGGTAAGGTCACCTATTTAGGTTAGCCGTGGGTATAATTTTTTTTTTTTTTTTTTTTTTTTTTTTTTTAATAATAAAAATTAAATAAAATAAAATAAAAAAACCAAAGGGGGGGGGGGGGTTTAGGTTTTTTTAGGGGGGTTTACATACATAAAAATACCAAAGGGGGGGGGGTTTGAACCCCCACCCCCCCCCCCCCCCCCCCCCCTGCGTACGCCCCTGTACATATATAGCAAAGTATCAATGCGGATCGATTAGCATGATTTCTGTAGTTTTCTCTGACCCAACAGATTCCTTGTTGAAAGCCAAGAGAGTCAATGTTTCCATGTGAATTATTTAGGGACTACGCACTGCAGTGGTTTGTCGAATTATATTGTCAGACTCATATGCCTCTCTCAGTGCTATATAGCCTTACATGAAATAAACGCCGCCCCCCCCCCCTATGGCGTATCAAGACTTACATGGGCTGCAGGGGTGGTAGCTGTCTATGCGATCTATGTAATCCAGCAAGAAAACTTTGAATAATGGGCCATGGTTTAATGTTTAAAACAGTAGGATTTACCTATTTTATAATCATTTTCAAAGAAATTAAAGGTTACAGAAACAAATACGTATCCATAACATAGGCAGTACAAATTCAAGAGAGGAAACAAATCTAACCCTGATGCATTAACATCATAGTGCACGGCCAATAATGGAAATTACCATAAGGGAAATAACCTGTCTTGCCACCTTCAAAAAAATCCCTCAAAACTTTCCTGAGTCCCCCGGTGATCTATATTATGATCTACTTCCTATGAGACTTCATTTTATTTGGTCCTCTTTTGATATACTTTGTATTTGTAAGCGCTACGCTACGGTACTTATTGTTTTTAGCGCTACTAAATATTCTATAAATTATTATTATTATCATTAATGATTCCTTAAAGGTACTATGTCCCTTTTGCAGCCAACCTCAAATTTTGTAGAACTTTGCAGGAATTATGAATAAAAATTATGTCATGTATGTCCTATCTGTGAAATTTAAACGTTAGCAGTGTCCTCATATTCAAATTATGCAAGGAAACCCGTTTACTTGCTAGACTTCACTGTCAGACACTATTGAGTGACTGACTGGCTTTTTTTTTCTTTGGTAATAACATACATGAAAAGAGTTGTAAAGGGTACATGAGCATTTGTCTACATCAATAACCCACTTCTTGTGATGGCCAAGATTAAACTGGTTGAATCTTTGCGCAGCATAAAACGTATGACTATTCGGTACGATTGTCTGAAAATCAAGACCATTACTTTTGGGCTCTATAGCCCTAAAGTCGATTTGACAACTAATAGTCGTTATTTTCCCACTTGAAGATATTTTCAAGCCCCACCTTTTTTAGGGAAGTTCTAAATTAGTATTATCTTTCAAATGCAGTTGGAATTAACTTTTTCATTTTGGCCTGCAAATGGGACATAGTACGTTTAACAAAAACAACCCCAAGGGACATTTCAAATTTTCTTTGATCAATACAGGTATTCAAAAGCACAAGGCTCTGTAGGATTATATTGCGGCAATGTTGTAGTATTAATGACTGCTTTGAGAGACATAGTTTGCTATAATGAATGATGAAACATGTATCGTAACTGACATCACGATCAGGTGATCACGATAACTTATACCGAGTGCGGCTATGTTTGAAATTCATATACGGTAGGTAGGTAACTTAGTAAGGCACCCCTCCCCCTCGTTCGTGAAGCTCTAGCCGTTTTTCTTCAATCTTAATCGTGTACAATGCAACCACAACAAGTTGATTTTTTTTTCTTTATGTGTTTTATTGAACAATCAAAAAATAATCACAGTATTTACAAGTTATTATAAAAACATTACAAAAAAGCAGTAAAACGCAGATCAAAACCTCACGAAAAGTAAATTTACAACATTTACAACATTATAAAACAAGATTATAAGACAAACTTCCATTTTTTAAAGTGCAAGGGCAGTTTGTTTTTCTTTTTTGCAATACGATATTCAAGATCTTTATTATAGTCAATGTAAGTTCTGAAACCCTGAAAATTGGGTATTTTACTTTGAAACTTGCATAAATAAATGTAGTATTTAAGCATAAGAAATAAATACGTCAAAAACATATCCTTTTCATAGCCAAACATTCTTTCAAATATTGAAAAATTCACTACTTTATTAATCTTCTAATTAATAGTTTTAATGGTATCATCCCAAATGGGTTTTACAGTTGATTTTGTTTTTGTTTTGTTTTTTGTTTTGACTTAAAGTGGTGATTGTAAGATTTGAGCATGGGGATAGACTTATTTTATGCTTCCATACTCACGAAATAAACACATAAAATAGGCGTGATAAAAGACTGTTCGGGCCTACATCATATCATTTTTATATCATATTATGAGATGAGTTATGGAACATAGCCCGTCGAGGAAAATTTTGGACAGCGTTATCTTAAATCTCTGCTATGGAATCTTTTAGTAGAGTATTCAAATTGGACAGAGCCGGGCAACTGCCCCCACCTCAACCCCCACCCACGATAATACCCGCACCAATATAACAATGGCGATACGTCACAATAATAAGTTTTAGGCAATTTAATCAAGTAGCAATTCCCTTAGTACTTTTTAAATGATTTTTTAAAATTGGTGTTAGCAAACATTTCGCAGCTCCGGCCATGTTTTTTCACTGTTAATTTTATGGGCGAAAAAGTGAAAAACACTGACTCAACGTGAGAGTAGAGATGATAACCTAACAACAACAACAACAACAACAATAATACTAATAATAATTATAATAATAATGTTAATAATTATAATAATAATGATAATAGTTATAATAATAATGATAATAGTTATAATAATAATGATAATAATAATAATAATGATAATAATTTAATAATAATAATGATAATAATTATAATAATAATGATAATAATTATAATAATAATGATAATAACAATAATAATAATACTTTTAAGGAGTAGAAGAAGAAGAAGAGGAAGAGGAAGAGGAAGAAAAAGAAGAAGAAAAGAAGTAGAAGGAGAAGATGATGAAGAAGAATATTTAACACAAATAAAATTAATTATTATTATAATAGAATTTCAGAGGTACAAAAAACACAAAGATCAAATCATTTTTTTGCAAACAAACTGCAAGGAAACAAATTGCAAATTCCCTTATTGCAAGTAGTTAGGAATAGAATTCGTCATAGAAAGAATTTGGTTCAACGTGATGTCATTAAACTTTCATAGAATGGTAACAATTCTTTAGAACATTTGGCGCGTGCTCATCGCTCAAGTCTTACAAAGGCAAACCTGACAGATATGATACCAATCTGTATAAGACTGTACACTATCTCGCAGGGGAGGATCGCTATTCCGGGTATGAAAGTTTTGTTTATGTTTTCATTCGAACCATGTTTGAATAAGAATATGTACTGGATATCAAAATGAACAATCATAGGCAATCATATGATATTTTGCACACTCGATATTTTGTATTAGCTAGTAGACAAACAAAAGAAATGTGCAGTGACAAGTGTTCAGTGGAGTCCCATATGTAAGGTTTTGTGCTGGTTGCTGAGTGAGTGTAGGTTCGAGTTTACTTTTTGAAATTTTGACTCTTACAGTCTTACTGATGTTGTGTACTTGTGTTATGTCTTTTATGTTATGTATTTAACTACTGTTTTTATGAATCACTCATGATTTAAGTGGCTATTTGAGCAATGTTGATAGTTTTGTACACATCGACACTGAAAAGAAGTTCCATACCAATTTACGGTTAGGACGTCTAGACAGAAATAACCATCTCATCAACAGGGGTGCTGGTCCGAGCGCGTAGAACTTTAGCTTACATTTAGCACATGCGCAAATCATTCATCCAATCTTGGCAAATCGAAGCCTCATTTTACTAAATTGGCGCCGACAAGGGCCTTTCTTATTGGCTATCGCTAGGTTCCATTCACTCAATGCTATAAAAATATAAGATATTTGTGCAACAAGCAAGCTTGCGATTTTCGTTTTTTTCGATACCAAAATGTTGCAGGAGTGCACCGAATTGAGAAGCAACAAAATTGACTATTTATTAACACAGCACAGACACACTTAAAACTGTTTCATTTAATAGTTGTTCCTTTTTAAGTCGTGCAGCACCAAAGCACATCGAAGCATTTATATAGTCTACTTGTACATGTTGTCTTTTATGAAAAGATTTAAGACACCCTGTATTGATTCTCAAAACTTTCAAACACCACTGTACAAAAGTCACCAGAATCCACAAGTATCAGCACTTGACAGTTGATGACACCTGAATTTCAGTCAATACAATCAGTTCAACTCAACGATGTTAGAAAAATACTTTGAAAAAGAGAAAATCAGAAATATACCATCATCCTGTTGATTTGATAATTATGAACATTTCTTGGTTAGCACGCTCCCCTCGCCAGTGCTCAAATCTTCCAGACAACTAGACTTAAAAGAAATTGGCCACTACAAAAATCACTCTCTATCAAGAACATGAATAGAAGTCTTTATTTTTCATGTGAAAAATATTGACTAAGTTTTTGTGGCAAAATTTTATTGCCAAGTTAATTGCTGAGAGAACCAAGACTTTTAATGGAAAAAAATAACACACAATTGCAAGAATTATGAGTACCGTTGGGATTTCTTCATTGTTGGACCTTGAAATATAAAACCACCATGTAAGGTCAGAGAGTAATTTTTTAGAATTGATGTTTGATTTGTTATCAAGTATTTGACATTTTATTTCATTTACCCCCTTTTCAGTTGGTACATGCAATGGACCTAAACATTGTCTTAATGCAATGCGAGGCACTAGTGGTCAATATGCATTTTGCACACTTGTTGTAGCTCGTGTGAATTCGCAACACAGTCCCACATACATGTAGATTTGGTCCCATGACTGATAGACACAGGGTGCGGGAATGGGGAAGCTTGGCGGAAATCATCAAAATCGATGGATAGCGCCAACAAACCCAACAACAACAAGCTTATCCAAGGGGCCAATCGCCCAAACCTGTATGAGACTGTGGCATGTATTCACTGTGCCACAAGTGTGTACTGAAAAGAATGTCATAATCAATGTAGGGAGAGTAATTTACATGCTAGAAGACCTGATTCAGGGACTCTAAAACTATTACTCTGCAACAAATTTGTGATTTCCAGGTTGAAAATTAAGTTTTAAATAATCTATTTCCTCTCCTCATGTATGATGTACCCTGAACCAATCCCCACTGTTAGACACAAAATCTATTGAAGCCAATTCAAACATGTGCAGCTATACAGGGGTACCAGCGTATTTCAAGTTAGCTTGTACATGTAAGAGCAGAAGCTCATGTTTATTGCTTGGGTTCATTAGTTATGCCAGCCGTTGACCTATCCATGTGTTAGTATGTGCGTCTGTAAATATGTTTAAATGAATTCTGAATTATATGTACATACAGGCACACACGCCCTTACGCAGCTATTTAAAAAAGAAACCTCCTCACACTGCATTACCATTCATGACAATTTTATCTGTCATCCATTCTTATTCCTTACAGATCTAGTGACAATCCACAGATATCTCAGAGAAAACCAGTTTACCGGTACATGAATGTGGATGAACAAGTAGTCTCTTCACCATAGAACATCAAACATCCAGAAAAGACTACTTTTAAAGACTCAACCATAACTATCCCATGACCACATCTGAAGCCGTCCCTAACTTGCAAAGTTGGGTAGATGTCCAACACCCTTCCACAATCACAGAATCAACTCCAGTTACAGGAATGCAGAGTAAGTATGGTAACTAGATCCTAGATTTTTTTAATTGTGACCCACAGACCATGTCTGTCCTGCCTAAAATATGAAGTATTGAATGAAAGAAGCATTTGTTTGATTAAATTAAAATGTAGATGCATGAATAAATGTATGCCCCAACCCTAACAGTCAGACTAATTATTAAAAGTCTCAACATTTTTGCCTTCTTGTTGGATGACATCATCTTGACTTCATAGTGAGATAACCTTCTCTATTAGAGTAAATTAATATCCCAGCTCATTGGCCAATGCTTAATTTTTGTGGGGATGCTAATAAGTGAATACTGCCTTAATAGGAGAAAACATAATATTGGTTGGCCTTTCTGTAGATGAAATTTACCTGTAATCTTTTATGAAAATGATAATTTTTCAACAGGCCTTTAAATGAAAGGTATCAATACTAACGCTGGTAGTCAGATTAAAACAATAAACAAGGGGGAAAAGAGAAATTTTGTTATTATAATGGTATTGTGTACCAGTAAGCTTTTGTGATAATCATAATGACACTTGTAGGTTCTAACAAATACTGTTTTTATTTCACAGCTTCACAGGACCCCTGTCTCAGTTTCAGACAGAGACGAACAAGGGTTCGCCATCTATGGAACAACAAGGACAAGGCAAAGATGCTCAGATTGGAGTAGGGGAATTAGACAATGAAGAAGACACATACCACAGCAGCAGTACTACAAACTCTTATAGGTAAGCCATGTAATGTCTAATATCTAAAAGGGAGAAAAGGAAAATGAGGAAGCTGAGAGAGAGAGACGGACAGACAAAAAGAGATTGAAGATTGGAAAAGAAGTACACGTATGCATAGAGAACGTTAGTGAAAGAAGCAGGACAGTGAAACAGATTGTGAAAATGGGATTTTCAAAAAATATAAAAAAGATGTTGAGGCAGACTGAAAAGTAAATGTAAACTTGTATATTTAGACTACTCAAGGGATACAAGGAAATGCTTGTTAGAGGCAGATGGTCTTTAATGATACATTAGTACACATTTCAACAAGCAATACTAGGGAAACAGAATGCATTTATACTGTAGATAGGTGGTCTTTAAATATGGGCGATGGCTAAGCAGGTTTCACTGCAGATAGATTCGTGGATAAAGAGGAAAATGGAAAGAGAAAGACAGAGGCGGAGACAAAATAAGGGAAGGGGGGGTGGGAGTTGGCGGTTGGGTTGAAAAATCCCATGCTGCTTTAAAAAAAAAGAAATATCTTGTACAAATTTGGATTTGGGTGTATGAGACGCAAAGATATAAAATGAAGTTTATAGACCGTAACAATGATATGCAATATGCACTGTTGTAAACATACATGTAATGTATTCACTGACATGTGCCTTGTGGTGGGGTTACCTTACCAAACATCCTGTTGCACACTTTGTCTGCTTAGCACTCTATGACCTCATATATTTCCTGTTGTTGCCAGTGTAGTCACACATAGATCTGTAAGTCAATATCAAGTTTCAGGAAGCTTGACCATTCAGAGCTTGACCATCCAGAGAGTGTCATGAAATGTTTTTGGTATGGGTATTATATTCTCCCCAATCTAGGTGTGTGATCATTGTGATGGCACGAGAACTTGACCACTGAGAAAGATTCATTAAATGCTCTGGGTATTAATATTCTCCTTAAGTTTCCTTGCAGTGAACCCAAGCATCCATTCATTAGCATTACAGTTTTGTTTAATTTAAACATGCATTAAGATAACAAGAATCCAAGAGAATATCTGGTTAATGTTTGATTCTATTTCCCCCAGCTACATTTAGGTGTGTGATGGTATAAGAACTTGACCATTGAGGGAGTTTCATTAAATGTTATGCATATTATATTCTCCTTAAGTTTTCATGCAGTGAACTTCAGCATCCATTCATTAGCATTACAGGGTTTTTTATTTACACATGCAAAAAAAAATTGAAGTACAAGAATCCAAAGAGAATATTTGGTTAATGTTTGATTGTATTTCCCCCAGCTATGTGTGTGATAGCATGAGAACTTGACCACTGAGAAAGATTCATTAAATGCTTTGGGTATTAATATTCTCCTTAAGTTTCCTTGCAGTGAACCTAAGCATCCATTCATTAGCATTGCAGTTTTGTTTAATTTAAACATGCATTAAGATAACAAGAATCCAAAGAGAATATCTGGTTAATGTTTGATTCTATTTCCCCCAGCTACATTTAGGTGTGTGATGGTATAAGAGCTTGCCTACTGAGAGAGTTTCATTCAATGTTATGTGTATTACATTCTCCTTTTAAAAGTTTTCATGCAGTGAACTTAAAGATGAAGTTGAGTTCTGGTCATGCGATTGCATTGTGAAAGAAACGGTGTGGAACCGACCAGAAAAGGTTGATCATCTAGCATATAAGAATTTGTGTGTATTGCAAGGTTCTGGAATCATCAAAATGATAAGAAATTTGGCCAAGTCTTGGTAAAGTTACAAACCCTGTACACAGAAAGATGTATATGGGACTACACGAACACGTGGCGTAAAAAGCCGCGCCCCCCCCCCCCCCCCCCCCCCCCCGATTTTTATGATGTTACATGCATATTTAGAATATGAAGGCATTTGAAGAGCCATGCTTTTCAGGGAACATGTCTTTTCTGATGTTCTTCCACACTTGCATAATAAGAATGAGTAATGCTCACAAATTATTTTTCACCTCTTCTCAGAACTCAACCTTCTCTTTAAGCCTCTACTCATTAGCATTACAAGTTGTTTACACATGTATGCAAAAAGAAATATCAAGTACAAGAATCAAAAGAGAATATTTGGTTAATGTTTGATTGTATTTCCCCCAGCTGTGTGTGTGATGGCATTAGATTCCACTTTGTGATTGAATATGGTATTGAAGTTTCATTGAACAAGATCACAATTTCTAGTATGATAGCTAAAAAGATGGATTTTTGACTGGCTATGCAATGAAAAATATCTTAATTCAACAAAGTCCTAGGATGACATGTACTATGGTCTTACCGGTATTCAAAACATCAACATGATTAACACGGATCTACCTGTAATAAAATTTGAGTTTTAGTTCATGCACTTAAGGAGATATCTCTTCATGACTTCTGTACTTCAAGTATATTGCACTCTTTAAGTCTGTGTCAACCATTAATTACGTGACTATGTACGGTTCATAAGATACTTGTCTAAACTCTAAAGTCCAACCCCAATCCCCTCCCCCCCCCCCCCCCCCCCCCCCCCCCGAAAAAAAAATGAAATAAACAAAAATATGAAAAATTGTAGAGCTTTGAATCCTATTTATTTGATGGGTCTGTGGAGTGTTGATACATTACTTAACTACCAACTAGTCCAAGTTCATACCTCAGCCATGATACTCCCATCTTTTGAGAAAACAATAAACTAAATTTTCCCCTATTGTACCTTGTAGGAAGAACTTCCTTAATGGAGCTCTCACACTCTGCCGTGTAGGCCTACCGTCCACCTGCCTGGCTATTAACAAAACAACAGAGTCCAGAACGTTGGGTTTTGAGCGAACTTGTCCCCGGCAGCTAAAAAAAATTCATAAAATTAATCTTTTCACCGTTTCGTTGCCATCTTCTGACCGTTCTCACCGGGCGCATACCGGGTGTTGAACGTGCTTCTACCGTCTTCACCGCCCAGATTAACTTTTGTTGAAAATTTTGGCTGTTTCCATACCGGGCCCATACCGGGTCTCGAACGTGTGCACCGGGTTTGTAGCAGCCACCTACCAGTCACTTAGCGTCCCCTCACCGCTCGGAGCGTCCTGTGAGCGAGTCCCTGGACTGCTGACGTCATGACACGACTGCCATAAATACCCCGATTTGAACGGCAACGGTCAGTCCGCTCTCCATTTTTCATCACCGTTCTGTAACGGGTTATGAGCGTGTTGTGAACATGTTCATACAGTGTGACCGTTTTCATAACGTATTCATACCGTCCTCATACCGTTCAACGGCCGGTGCCAGCCGGCCAAAGTTTTGAACATGCCCAAAACTTTCGCCGGGTCCCACTGGGTGTAAATAAGCGCCAACGCCCTATTAACGTGTTGCCCGCTTTGATAACGAACCACCGTGTGCCCTCGCCGTTCTCCACCGTCCGCAGACATTTTCGCGCGCGGTGGCACACGGTAGGCCTACACGGCAGAGTGTGAGAGTCACCTTAATAATTCAAGCACTATTTATAACAGCTCAGCTAGAACCAGATCAATAATGTAATAATGAACAGGGGTTTTACCATCCTTTGGGGTGGATGTATATTGTGAATGCCCTGTTATTATCATTATTCAAATTCAATGTTATTTAATTGTTTAATTTTAGGGATGAGTGGTTTCGACTGTTTGAGCGTGATGACTACTTGCAGGTAGTCAAACAGGAGGGTAAGAAAGGCAGATTAAGGAGCAGCAGGTTCCGTAGTATCTGCTGGAAGGTGAGTTTTGCATGTATTTTTGTTGTTGATACTTGTTTTTTGTCTTAAACATTGTAATATAAATAAAACACTGTTATATATATCCTACTGATAGCAGTCACATACTATGATTCTTCTTAATTTTTACAAGATTTATTCGATTTAAAATCATTTGAATGATTTGACCCTGTTGAGATCAGAGATAATCTCAATATTTTGTACACATTGGAAGAGGCAAACAAGATAATGAGAAAATGGTATCATATTAATTGATTTATCTATTATATATATTAAATGTACCTCCACTGAATCAAGGAGTTTCCTCAATTTACAACTCCTGGGACCCGTTTCACAAAGCCTTTTTTCAATGACAAATGACAAAAATCAGTGACAAATCTGTTGATAACCAATCAGAAGCAAGGATGTCAGTAGCTTAAAACAAAAATTGTCATTTGTCACTGATGACAAGTTTTGTGAAACGCCCCCCTGGACTGTATGAAAGACATCTGCGGTATGAAAATAAGACTTCTTATTCTCCTTTGTTTTGGAAAATCAATTCCTAGCCATTTTATAAAAAATCTAGTAAAAATCCAATTTTATCTCACAGATCTACCTAGACTGCTTACCCGAAGACAGAACAGCTTGGCTGCAGTCTGTGAGGGAAAACAGAAAGAAGTATGATGGATTTAGAGAGCAACATATACACAGCACGAAAGAAGGATTGAGGGATAGGGCAATGGATCCTACGCTCAACAATCCACTATCACAGATGGAAGAGGTGAGATGTGGAAGAAAGGAGGATGGGAGAGTGAGTGGGTGGAGAGGAAGGGGAGATAAGAAAAGATTTCTCTTTGAAAGTTTGAAACAAGGGAAGACTGTAGAGAACTGAATGACGAGATCCAGGAAAATATGTGGAAAGGCAGAGGGAAATGACATATGAGTGAGTGATGAAAAAGGACAAATCTAGGGAGAAATTTTGTGAACATAACTATACACTAGTTTTTTTTTAAGAGAAGATGAAATAAAAAGGAAAGAGGAATTGGTGAAGAGAAAGGGGAGATAAGGAAAGATTTCACAGGAAGAAAAATATCTTACTGTGTAAATGAAACAAGGGGAGACTGTAGAGGAGTGAATGAAGAGATCCAGGATCCAGAGGGAATGCCATAGGAGTAGGCGATGAAGGGAAATCTAAGGGGGAATTTTGTGAACTTAACTATACACTAGTTTTTTAAAGAGAAGATGAAATGAAAAGGGAAGAGGAGTGGGTGGACAGAAGGAAAGATTCACTTGAAGAAAAATATCTCTCTTTAAAAGTGAATCAAGGTGAGACTGTAGAGGGGTGAATATAGAGGTCCAGGAAATGGAGTGGGCGATGAAGGGAAATGTTGGGGAATATTTTGTGAACTTAACTATACACTAGTTTTTTAAACGTAAAGAGAAGATGAAATGAAAAGGGAAGAGGAGTGGGTGGACAGAAGGAAAGATTCACTTGAAGAAAAATATCTCTCTTTAAAAGTGAATCAAGGTGAGACTGTAGAGGGGTGAATATAGAGGTCCAGGAAATGGAGTGGGCGATGAAGGGAAATGTTGGGGAATATTTTGTGAACTTAACTATACACTAGTTTTTTTTAACGTAAAGAGAAGATGAAATGAATAGGGAAGAAGTGTGGGTGGAGAGATAAGGAAAGGTTTCACATGAAGAAAAATATCTTTAAAAATGAAACAAGGGGAGACTGTAGAGGAGTGAATGAAGAGATCCAGGAAAATATGAGGAAGGGCAGAGTGAGACAACATTGGAGTGGGTGATGAGAAAGGGATATGAAGGATACTTTTTTGTGAACTTAAACTATTTGCTTGAAGATAAGATAAAAGTAAATGAAAGAGGAATGTGTGAAGAGAAAGATTGAGATAATGTAGAGAGGACTAAAGGCTTTTGAATGGTTTGTGTAGATGTAGGGGAACTATGAAAGAGAAAGAGGAAAAGGAAAGCTCTTGATATAATGGCAGAAAAAGAACAGAGAACAGAGTCTCAATGAAGTGAAGTTGAGGAGATAAAAAGTGATGAAAAAGGAGGAAAGAAAAGGACTGAATATGAGAAAAGTGGGATATTAAATGAGAAAAACAATGATTAAATAACAATTTTAAGGAGATGATCATGGATAAAAAAAAAATAAGAGTCACAAGAATGGATTTAGGATTTAAAGCAAAATGGTACATACTTTGTAATGTTTTTCATCATCACTGCACAAAATGGTCAGGAGTATAAAATAATTTAGGTTGGAGAGAGCGGGGAGAAGGGGGGGGGGGGAGGAATAAAGAAGTCTGAAGCATGAAAAGAATGCACAATTATTCACGCAAGATGTATTAAAGTACTCGACATTGATCAATCATATATAAACTAACATCATTTAAACCAAATTAATTTGTTTTTTTAATTTCCTGCTTTTCAGAGCCCCTGGAACAGGTTCTTCCAAGACAAGGACTGCCGAACCGAAATCAAACAAGACGTGGTCAGATGTTTTCCCGAGATCGCTTTCTTCAAGAGCGAAAAGATCCGGGACATGATGATTGATATCCTTTTCTGTTTTGCCAAGGAAAATAGCAATGTGCTGTACAAACAGGTCAGTGCTCATCTCAACATGCATAGGAGGATTTAGTGACAAGTGGTCAGTTGCAGGAAATAAATGAAGTACGGTCACTTAAAGTGTTATTGGTAAGAGGAGACAAAGACAGGGAAGAAACGCACCTCTTGTGTTTTTACAACCAATTGAATTACAATCATTAAGATGTTATTGATGAAAGGTGGAGGTGGGTGGGGGAGAGAGGTGGAAAGTGAATTACCATTTACCACACATTTTTTATAGATGTTGTTTTTTCTTTCTTTTTCCTTAATTACTAAATGCTCTTTTTGATCTTGTTTCCTGGTTTGACTACTTGAAAGTTTGATTATTGAGCCTAGCCCGGACAAATAGTCTTCCTTAGCATTGACATTAATTCAAACAGCATGTATAATTCAATTATATTTTTGATATATGTACTGTTTTCTATCTTTGAATTAAAGTATACATGTAAGATGCAGTTAATTTGAAGCAGAATTGATGCTGTGTTGCAATCAGTGTAAAATATTAAAGATAAACAGGGGAATACAGAAAAATTGTACTACAAATGACTAATTCTTTGTTAAAATAACTGTTTTGTGTGTTTAAGTATCACAACTATTGTTTTGACCTAAGATCCAAGTTTTGAAAGTGTCACAATGTATTTATTGATACATGTATATCAAAAGATAGACAAACAGATAAATTTATGCCACAAAATAGTTGAATTACAACTCTCGATTGTGCAACCTATAAGAGTTCTTTGCTATGAAAATGGCTTTGCAATTTCAGAAAGTTACAGATCCTTAAATTTTCAGTTTTTGAAGTAATTCAATTGATTTTACTTTTATTTTAAGTTTTAACATGAATATAAATGCATTAGTTGATTTATGTCATGCTATGTTTGTCTTCGTCATTTAGGGAATGCATGAACTCCTAGCTCCCCTGATGTTTGTGATACACTGTGATCAACAAGCATTCCTACATGCAAAAGAAATGGAATCACAGCTGTAAGTACATGTATCAAATGTAATACACTCAATCCTGATCGAATCACCACCTGTCCATAAAGGCCACATACAGTGAAACCTGTCTATAGGGACCACCCAAGGGAGATAAGTAAAGTGATCTATATAGGCAGATGGTCTTTATGTACAGGTTCCTTTAGTACATGTTTAAATGAGAAACCAGTTTTAAGGGAAACAAAAAATGTGATCTTTGTAGACAGATGGTCTTTATGTACAGGTTCCTTTAGTACATGTTTAAATAAGAAACCAGTTTTAAGGGAAACAAAAAATGTGGTCTTTGTAGACAGGTGGTCTTTCTATACAGGTGGTCGCTAAAGCAGGTTTGACTGTATACACAAGCTGATCCTTCACCCACTAAACAAACCATACACAATGACAAGATGACCAGGACTTTTGGAAATATATATTTTTGTAAATTTATTAACAAATTGAAAATATATGTTGGGATAAGATGCACCTTTTTACTTCATTTTGCCATACCGGTATTCACATGAGCTTTTGTTAAATAATATCTCTTGGTTTTCTTTGTAAAATAACAAGCAGAAATTATGAGAGACATGACATGTAGGGGTACATGTACTATGAAATCTATAAGTGGAAAATCATCTTGGATGAAAATATAGCGATGGTTTGCCCTGCATACACTTGTATACCCTATGGATACCCCTTCCCTCTCACCTTCTTCATTAGAAAGTGTATACTTGTGATTCAAAGGATTGTATGGTGGAAGTACAGCCCCTCACTTCATACGAAACCATAACAGAAAATGATCAAGACATATGATACCACACTCTCAGGGTGCTTACAAAAACAGATTATTTTGGAGCATATTCCTCATTTTCAGTTGAATTTCTATTTAACCATCCAAACTACATTGTGATTATGCATCAATACAAATCAACTTCCAGTTTCATCAAATTTTAACCTTTAAAAAAAGTTTTGTATATATTACATAGTTTATACCAACTGCAATATAGCAAGAATTGTTGTGCTTGAATGTAGCTGATATTTAGATGAAGATGAATTAAAAATTTTGTGTACTGAATAAATCTGCTCAGTTTTCTGTTTATAAGGTAGATAGTTAAACTGTTTTGTAGATCACTGCATGATATTGCATGAGTAGTGATGACGTGCCTGACACTAATTTATGAAATATTTCCCTCTTTTCTTTGCTTCCATTGAAACATTGTCTGGAATTAAGTGATGTATCGATTCCTTGATTGTTTTCTGGCATTTTTTAATAAATCTTGTTGAATTGTGTGAAGAATAATTCTGATATATCATCTGTTTCCTTCATACCACTCCAATGCTGTGCAATGTACAGGGTTTTTGGCCCCAATGAAAGGTTATACTTTATATTATTATCATATATTTTACAGCTTTAAATTCATTTCCACTTATTCTTTCTCATTTTTTCATTGAATCCGTACAATCCACTTGCTGTGCGATTAACATTTCATATCCTTCTCTTTCTGTCCTCACCATATACATACAAAAGCATCCTTTTGACTAACATTGTTTTTAATCGGCTTTTTATTGTAACATTAGTGAATTTTAGGTAATCACATAGATTTCATTTCATTGGATAAGCAACATTTTGGATAAGATTGTGTGAGAGTGAATTTTCTTTCTCGGCTTCATGATGTTGTTTTTACATTGGGTAAGAGGAGCTGGTTTCCATTAATTCCTTGGTGTAAATGTTCTTTCTGGAATAAAATTTAGTAGATATAATTATTGTTGCGTCTTTGGGGATTTACTAACTAAGAGTTCTGATAAATATAGAAATAAATTCTCTCAGAATCCAACAAAACTTACACTGAATGTTCAAGATTACAAATAAATGACATGTGCCAAACAGTTTTGGTATAACATGTAAAGGGGCTGAGTAATGAGCATAGAAAGATAAGGAAAACCGGATAAGTAGACTCGACACCATGTGTTTAACACAGGTCACTATGTGCAAATGGGAGTTGTTGTTTTTAACGAAGATGATGCCCAGTAAGTTTTTGTATATTTTTAAAAAATTTCACTGGTTGAAACAACCAATCTACTGCAGGATAAATAATCCAGAATAAATCAAAGCAATTTTTTCTCAAAATACCTTTCCCATACCAGAGCTCAAGATTAGCTTTAAGAGCAGGTACATGTGAATGATGTGGTATTTTGCTTCTCTGGCTTGAAGTTGTACACTTATTTGGCAGCAATGCAGTGATTGAGAGAGATTTATCCTCCAGCTTGAGCAGCAATGCAGGATGCTCAAAGCCATGGGACGGGAACAGAGGTGGGCAAAATGAACCGTAGGCCACAAAACAGGAGCACATGCAAGCAAAATACCCCAATATTGATTTATTGTGATATGAAAGGTCTGTCAACAATTTCATCGGTGTAAAGTAATTGAGGTGTTGTGGTCGAGTGGATATGTCACCGGACTGTGGATCACAAGGTCCGTGGTTCAAGTCCCGCCGCGGCACTAATGTCCTTTGGCAAAACGTTAATCTACAGTTTGCCACACTGACCCAGGTGAGGTAAATGGGTACCTGGTAGAATTATTCCTTGAAATGCACTGTGCGCTAATAACGGCTGCCACGGGAGCTAAAGCTAGGGTAATAATTCTTAAAGTTCTTTGGAAGTGCATACATGTAGGGATGTTATATAATGTGATATCAGCTTTGCAAGAACTGAATATCATTATTATTATCATTATGGCTTAATGTCCTTCTGGCTCTCAGCAAACAATGCTTTTTCATGACTTAAATCATATTTCATTCATGTATTTGGACATAAATCATGCAAGGTGCTGGAGCGAGTGCATTATTTCATCGGGAGGGAAATCATCATTAATATCAGTTGTAGAACAGTTGCACCACATAATCTTAATTTATTTGATGATTCAAGTGTTTTACTCAGTAAAGAATAATTCTGATCTAACACCAGTGACATTCTCCACTATATTATAACTTTGTGGGACTAATAATTGATATCATCTCTACTTGTTTTGAAAAAGATATTGTATTCATGTGGCATACCGTTTCATTAATGCTCTGGATTCCTGGGATGCTTGCAGGCATTCATCAATGTGTATTCATTCTTTACCATCAAATTTTTTTCTTTCAAGGAAATCTGTGATCATTTGCCTTTACATTGCAATTTTCAGGGATTTGAATTAGTTTCGCTGCAGCTCATTCACTCTCTTTGGTATCCTGGAGTGCGGCAGTTTGCACTGCCCCCCCCCCCCCTCCCACAAAAAAAAAAATAATAATAATAATCAAAAAATTTCAAAATCTGTTATTTTGCCCTTCTCAGTAGTAACAGTTTAAATCTTGACATCAATTGAAAGGTCACTGGTCCTCCATGCTACATTCTGAAAGAATTAAACCATGCTACTTGGTAACATGGAATTTTTTACTGCAGTCATATTCTGTCAAATGAAAAAGCTGCAAACTGCTGTAATGTGTCCTATTTGACATTTAAATTATGAGCTATCATAATGTGCTTAGATTTTTAGAAATACTGCAACTCATTTCAATAACATGTACAGTATGACAATTTCTTATGTTTAAAGAGAGAAATGTGTTGCTTATTTTTTTTAAATTATTTCATTGTTTTACTTATGAGGTGTTATTGCCCATTTTACATATAGGAAGATCACTTAAATTCAGAAATATAATTGTGCTTTATTAGAGGCATTTTTTTTTTTTTTTGTGTGGCATATATGCTGTGCTATTTCTTCTTTTATATGGATAGAGCTAATCTGGCATGGATTTTATCTTTAAATCATTATGGACAGTGTAAAATAAGACAGTATGCTGTATCTATCAGTATCATCTTTCTACAATTAAACATCAATCTGGCTTTGCTACTTCCCCCACATCTTCCCTTGCAGAGAAATAGTTTCAGAACTCATGAATCCTGACTACTTGGAGCACGATTCATAGTAAGTATAAGTAATTTCAAACTTTGTTTAAAAAGAAAGCAAAACTATAATACCTTTGTTCCTCGTAAGTGGAAGGAGTTTGGATTTCAGAAATTACTTATGGAACTAATCTGCTCTCGATATCAATATTTATTGTGTTTATTTCCTTAGATGACAAAGTGATTGGTTTTGTTATTACAAATGATATTTTTATCAATCATTATAGTTGTTGATTGAACAAAGATTTTTTTTTCTTCTAGGTATCTTTACCAAATACAATAACATGATTAACTTTCTCAAGATATTGTTTCCTTATCCATTACTTCCTGTTTCTCATATTTTTGAAAATAAATACGAATTAAACCACTTTTAAATAAATAATATATAAAAAACAAGTTCAAGTAGTATGTTTTTAAATATTTCTTTAGATCACTTGTATTTCAAATGTAACAAAATAATCTCCATGAATGTTTATGGGATCAATTGCAAAACTGATCTTGAGAAAGTCCATGAAGGTTTGAAACCCTTTTTTTTTTGCTCTTATTTGAACAGCACCCTCTTTTGTCATCTGATGGAGACGGCCGAGCCATGGTTTCATCACGGTCAAGACTTCCCTGCTCAGAGTGGTTTCGTCCAATCAGAGCCCTTCTCTAAACCAGAGGAGTGCAACCCCTCCTCCCCTCTGGTCAAGAAACTCAACAGGATACGAGAGTTTATCCTCAAGAAACATGATTTTGAGCTTTACACTCATCTCAATCAGCTAGATATCCAGCCTCAGATATATGGCATGTAAGTTATATATTGACTAGTAAGTAGTTTGGTCAACCAGAGCTAAGACTACTTTAGGACAGAAGAAAAGCCCCAACAAAATTCAAATTTTTTAATTAAAATTTCATTCAAATTATCATTCAGCATGTATAAACACATACCTAACAGTCATAAATACATAAATTGGCAAAATAATAAATGAAAGCATACCATCAAAAGCAGCACAAGGATTAAAGCCAGAAGCCACTTGAACATATCATATACAAATGATTTTAAAAATTCTTAGTGAATGCATCCATCCTTTTTCTTTCTACTTTATATTCTGGACAAACACTAATACGACAATGATCCTATAACAGTGCAGTATTGTCATATCAGGGTTAGTTGTATCTATGAATGATTTTAAATCTGCAGTCGCTGTGAGCCAGAAGACCCTAAATGATTTTCGTTTTTAGAGACTCAACATCCTCTTGGCTCTCAGGAAATGGCTTACCAGTATATAATTGATCCTGAATGCATGGCATTTACGAATTAGAGGTGCTAAATTAATTCATTAATCCTTGATTATGTCAATAATAGAGTAGACATGAAGCAAAGTTAAGATTTCATGAGCTTGAACTGGACGTGTTTCTTTTTTCTTTTTTTTCACATGGCAGTTAATTCTTCCTACCCAGGCAGTCATATACATGTAGTTACCTACCAGTATGTCCCTTTTTCACATTCATTTTTGTTTTCAATCTTGAAGAAACAGTACAGTAGTAATGACCATGATTTGTGTATCTTGTATTCTGTTTGACAGCCGATGGTTGCGGCTGTTGTTCGGTCGAGAGTTCACATTCCAGGATCTGATAGTATTATGGGATGCCATCTTTGCTGATTCGCCGATGCTGGATCTGGTTGATTACATCTTTGTTGCCATGCTCATCAAAATCAGAGAACTTTGTAAGTACAACTCATAGTCACTAGTCATTCATTCATTTCATTGATTACCAAAGATTTTCATTTAAAGACCACACAGCAAGGTCACTGACAGGTGGCTATCTCATTAACTCAGCTCTCAACTAACTTAAGAAAAAGAGGATCATGGGGGACCAACAGGCACCAATTGGGGAAGTTTTCTATATAGAGGGAGCAAGGAGCTTCAAGTAGGACAGTGGGGCTTTAAAAAAAGTTACATTGTATTTCAGCATAAACTATACATACATTTGGTAAATGGATCCAATAAATAGCAAGTAGGTAGTCGGGGTCTGTCCCGATCAACACACCATAATTCATGACAATTAATCAGTCATTAATGATAAATGTGGAAAAACAAAAGTCAGCATGTGCTACTGCATTACACAAATATAGGTTGCGATTACATGCCTTGTATCAATTTCTCAAGGCACCCTGTTTTGAACAAATATCAGCAAATGCAGAGTTCTTTCTTAACTCATCTTTTGTTCCACTTGGACGATTACATTGTTTGATTTTATATGCTTTGGGTGGGACACTTTAAGGACATATAGAAAATGTTACAAATATGTCCACGACAGCACAATTTGTTTAATTCTTTACATGAGTCGTTCTACTCGTGTGTTTGCTTTCGCTTTGTGCAAAGCAGTTTCCGAAGGATGTATCCTACAAAATGAATACTTTTGCGGTGGGCTTTTACCAGATGTTTGTTTATGTGTCAAGCAAGAAAATGGTGGATCGTTTATGAGTTGGAACTGTAATATATTTCACATGGACTAAACTGAATCGACCTAGAACTATATTTTTCTGTAAATCTAATTAAGAATTAAGCTCTTTTTTCATTTCTGTCGTATATTTTCAGTATTGACAGCAGAGTATGCCAACTGCCTGATGCTGTTGATGAGGTATCCTACTGTAGATGACATCCACTACCTGGTCAATAAGGCATTACATCTTAGAGATCCAAAGGTACGTGCAGATTCATGTTAAGCCATTGCCTACTGGATCCCGGTGGTCCCTGCATTAAGTCTATGTGAATGAGAGAATTTGGTAGTCACTGGGTTATTACTGTAGTACCACCACCACTTGGTCATTAAGGCCATCCCCCCATCTTGCAGATTGTTTCTGGGACATATGCTCCAATAAATTGCTCCATGGTTCATATCCTACACCTACCACACTCCTAAATTCAGCCATGGACCAAAGACTTTAACTATAAACCCTAAACATATATGGAATTGTAACCCTAGACCTATAGTTACAATGAAACAAAGCCCGAAACAATTGCCACTAGAGAATGTCAGTTCACCTAAGGTAAGTCAAGTTCATTTCACATACAGTTTGAAAAATATATAAATTATCATCTAGTCAAACCCAAGGCAAGCACCCAGCCAAATGCATGTATTCAAATCTCCAAAGAATTGAAGCAATACCAAACACCTCTAATCCAACATGGCTTTATTAATCCATGACCTCTATTGATTCTTCCATGGCTTTCTAAATCCTGATCATTTTCTCTCTTCAGAAAATTTACCTGGCTCAATTAAGGTGTCATGAAACCCTTTATTTACCCATTAACGAGCAAGCTGACTCATGCTTTTGTAGCTTCAACCTCTGGAATGTCTTTACAACATTATACCTATTGTATCACACTGCAAGTCTCTGTAAATTGAATGAGTCCTACTTATCCAGTGATAATAGTCATTTACTTTGCTACCTCCAATTAGTGGGCAATAATTGCTATAGGCAGGTAAGCCACCCAATTAACACCAGGATGGAAAGGGTGTCACCTGATTTCAATAGACTGTTGAAGCCTTGGCTTATGTTCACTATGATAGGTATATCACACACTCTGCATTAAATCCAGGTGCTTTTATTCATCAATGCTGTCTATTCACTATGGTACCACCACCAACCCCCCCCCCCCCCTCCCCAGTGTCATCAAGTTTACTGGTACTTACGTTTATCACACATCAGAACAGTTCATTTACCTAATTTCATTCAATTCAATTTTGTTTTTTTTTATTAAAACATAAAGAACATGGCAAAAGTCTGGAGATTAATATTGCCATATTTACAGTTAAATACAAGTGAACATGAAATAGTGTTATAAATCATACATTGACATATCGTCGCTGTTTTCACGAAGTGACGGTAGTAAAAAAAATATGCATTCACTTTGCGTTACGATTTTCCTCACTACCGTCACTTCGTGAAAATAGGGACGATATAGTAGTTCAACAACAACTTACAAGAAGAACATGACTTCATGCATTGAAAAAGATAATGCTTAACAGAAAATGTCATATTGAATTCAGTTGTATATAATTTTACAAAATTAATGATACAGTGGATGCCAGTAGTAAAAAGAGAAAGAAAAATGTTTCACGATAACAAAACAAGTCCATTTATAACAATTGAAAAAATGGCAATAAAGAAGACACCCACACAAAAAAACACTTTGACTTTGAAAATGCTGTAAGTAAAGTAAATTTAGATATATGAGGGCATGTTCAAACGCAATGTAAAAATATGAGCCTTTCAAAGATTACAATGAAATATGCATGATAAAAACGGCCAATAAAATTATTTGTACATTATTTGTACATTATTCACTGTCAGGAATAATACAAAAATAAGAAATAAGACCATCTATTGCCCCTGACATTAGATCGAAATAGAGTTTGCCAGATTTAATTTATACAACAGTGAAAGGGTTTGATGTGAAATATTAGATTCCGGTACTATATGTATGTATCAAGAAAAGCGGGTGCTGATTCAAACGATGAGAGAGAGACAGAAGAAATGGCTTGGACACATAATGCGGCATGATGAGGGCTTGATGCTCAGAGTCTTAGAAATAAGAAGAGGGGAAGACCTCGTAAAGGCTTTCTAGACGATAATCACAGAATGTGGAGCAGCAGGGTATGAAACGCTGAAATGGTTGGCTCAAGACCGAGGAACTTGGAGAGGCACTTGATATCGAATTTTGATTGGGTCACTTAATCTGTCATAAACTGACAGATCACTATTGATGATAATGTTAGATGTAACAAAATTAAAATACTTTTGATTTATACATCATTTCTAATTATAGTAATACTCCTTTCCAATGCCTATTATATCTATATTGTGTTTATCAAACAGTTTCTTTTTACAATTTGGAAGTTTCAAATCAAGTGGCCGTCGATGACTTTTTAAAGGGTTTGTGCTTATGAAACAAGAAAAACTGTGTCGCTGACTTACTTACAGATGTTATTACATGGAAAAAATATTCCCATTGCAGTTTTTTTTAATTTGTTATATTGCCATCAATAACATTTTTATTTTGTTTTAGTTTGCATTGTGGCCTAAAACACTTAAAAGCCCCACTGCACTACTTATAGCTACTTGCGCCCTCTATATAACAAACAATGCCTAATCGGTGACAATTGGTCCCCATGGTCCTCTTTTTCTTATGTTAATTGAGAGCTGATTTTATGAGATAACCACCTGTCAGTGATCATGCAGGGAGGTCTAATCCCTCCTGGCTAAACTAGTGTAGATAGGCTTTGAATATTACATTTCAGTGAGTCAAAATATGATTGATTATTGTTACTTCGGGTAAATCATACAAGAGGAAATGAAATTTGTTCTACAAGTTTAGGGAAACAAAATATTCACAATTTCCTTTTTAAATTTTAAAGAACAACCCCAGGCAGGCCAACTACCAGTTCCAGATCTACTCCCAGATGAAAAGCGGAAACGTCATCTCCACAACACGAGGCCATGTCACCGTCCCAAAGAAACCAGTACCAGTGGTCAAGAAGACCACATCGGCGGTCAGTCAGGGATTCAACAGCCTCAGGAGGATCGGGAAGGGGGCCAACGCTCAGAAGGATAAGGGGTCTAAATCCAAGACGATGGAAGGTACGTACTCAGACCCCGTCAGCTCGACGCCTAGCTAATAGTCGAGGATGTGCCCGCCCCTCGCACGGTATTAGTATTTCCTTTCAGCGGAGCAAATCACCGTGGATTGAAACACTTAACACCCGGCCAGAAATTTTGACAAATCTTTCATATTCTCCCAAGGTGCTGTCACTCTCTTGGTTGTGCTGTGTGGGAGAAACAGGAATAGAGAGAGAGAGAGAGAGAGAGAGAGAGAGAGAGAGAGAAAGAGAGAGAGAGAGAGAGACAGAGAGAGAGACAGACAGAGAGACAGACAGAGAGGCAGAGAAACAAACAGAGAGAGAGAGAGAGAGAGATAGACAGACAGAGAGGCAGAGAAACAAACAGAGAGAGAGAGAGAGAGAGAGAGAGAGACAGACAGACAGACAGGGGGAGGAGGAGACAGAAATAAAGAGAGACAGCTATTAAAAGCAGGGCAGAGATAGATGAAGGAGGGGGTAGTTAGAGAAAGACAGAGGGAAAATGCATTTGTCCAGACTGCTGTTTCTTGAGAATGTGAAATATTAAAACTTACATCTGAAAGTATTCAACAAAGGCCCTTATTCAAACAGACCACCTTTCATTCTTGAGTTATTAAAAACACAAAGAACTTTAAATGTACAAGAGGTATGAGTTAATCAGTTGTTAACTGCATGTACATGTATATGTTTGTAGAACATGCTAATAACCTAATCAAAGAAAAACTATGAAAACAAAAGGAAAATGATATAGAAAACAAAATAATGTAATTAGTTAGCAAAAAGGGAGGTACAGTCAAACCTGCATTAGTGACAACCTGTCTACAAAGACCACATTTTTGGCTTCCCTTGAAATTGGTTCCTCATTGAAACATGTATTAAAGGAACCTGTCTACAAAGACCACTTTGTGTGTTTCCCTTGGGCGGTCACTATAGACAGGTTTGACTGTATAGATGTCATACTGGGTAAAAGAGACCCAAACAAGAACAGCTGCTTCATAGGAAAGAAACAAAACAGAATATGAGCAGAAAAAAGAAAGGCAACTAATTCACTCCTGTGAAATCATCCATGAAAATAACTGTAAAAGTAACTAGTATTACTATAAAAGTCTGAACAAAATCCAGACAAACATGAAGTATGTGTTAACAATTCACATGTATTTAATTAAGTATCTATGATTGTCAATTATATGTTTTTCCTGTGAAATTACTTTGAAGCATGATTGTAAATGTAAATATGAACAATTATCCTCTATGGACATAATAAAGAAATGAAATGGAATGAAATGAAATGAACACTTTTCACCTTTCTCATTCCAATTTGGATAGACCTACCCCACCCGTTGGCCCACTCGACCTCTGACCTTGTGACTGACATTCAGACCCGAGACCTCAAGGTGCTGTCCAAATCTAGTATCGCTGGTATGGAGACACTGAGCTCAAGTACAGAGGGACTCTCCAAGATGGAGAAGACAGGGAAACAAGCTCCTTCTAGTCTTCAACCCAATATATTCGCTAAGCCAAGGAGTGCAGGCAAGAAAGTGAGTCTGTAGTTGATAACACTCCTTTAAAGGTAAAGACCAGTTATGGTCATGCGATTGCATTGTGGAAGAAACGTTGTGGAATCGATCAGAAAAGGTTAATCATCTAGCATCTAGTATCTGCAAGGTTCTGGAATCATCAAAATGATAAGAAATTTGGCCCATTCTTCGTAAAGTTACGAGCACTATACACAGAAAGATGTATATGGGACTACCATATATCTCTCACAGACCATGAGAGAAACAAATTTACCAAATATATGAATTAGTAGGCGGTTTCCCTGCAAATTTGTTATCATCATGTATTAGTCAAAACATATTCTTTCACATGATTGGTAATGAGAGCTTCCATTTCATTTTTTGAAATTGGGGCGTTTCCAATACTGGTCTTTACCTTTAAAGGTACTATGTCCCATTTGCAGTCAAAATTATGAAAAGGTTAAATTCCAACAGCATTTGAAAGACAATACCAAAATTAGAACTTCCCTCAAAACGAAAGGGCTTGAAAATGGTTTTTAGTGGGAAAATGTCATTCCTGCAAAGTTCTACATAATTTGATGTTGGCTGCAAAAGGAACATAGTATCTTTAAAGGGAGATAGTTGTCAGTTTCCATGTGCAGCAGGTCATAATTCGCTGACACTAGACTTGGTGGAATTATACCATTAATGGGTGTACAAGTCTTGCACACGGCAAACCTCTGGTCCTATCAAGAGATACCACCTAGTCTCTCAGAGAGTCTTTGGATGAGGGGAATGTAAGATAATGATGTTACCATATAGGAGGATGGGTGGAAAATGCAGAGCATTTTATAAGACCTGCTGGTCATAAAACTGAAGGCTAATCCTGGTGATTGACAGCACCTGTTAACTGGTCAAACACCCAAATGGTGTCATTTTCCCCATGAGAGCCCACTACTGTGTGTCTTTAAATCTAAACTGTATAGTACAAGATAGTCGACACAAATTAATAAAACAGAAATATATGAAGGTATTTACATTGTCTGTTTGGAGTCAAAGGAGTGTTAACTCATATACTTTGACACAGATGTAAGGCCCTTCTGGGACATGTATATACTTTCTTGGGGATAATGTTCAATTTTCAAAATATACTGCTGTTGACATTTTTTTTATTTAAAGGTACTATGTCCCATTTGCAGGCCAAAAAAATGAAAAAGTTAAATTCCAACTGCATTTGAAAGATAATACTAATTTAGAACTTCCCTAAAAAAGGTGGGGCTTGAAAATGTCTTCAAGTGGGAAAATAACGACTATTAGTTGTCAAATCGACTTTAGGGCTATAGAGCCCAAAAGTAATAGTCTTGATTTTCAGACAATTGTACCGAATGGTCATACGTTTTATGCTGCGCCAAGATTCAATCAGTTTAATCTTGGCCATCACAAGAAGTGGGTTATTGATGTAGACAAATGCTCATGTACCCTTTACAACTCTTTTCATGTATGTTATTACCAAAGAAGAAAAAAAGCCAGTCAGTCACTCAATAGTGTCTGACAGTGAAGTCTAGCAAGTAAACGGGTTTCCTAGCATAATTTGAATATGAGGACACTGCTAACGTTTAAATTTCACAGATAGGACATACATGACATATTCATAATTCCTGCAAAGTTCTACAGCATTTGAGGTTGGCTGCAAAAGGGACATAGTACCTTTAATATCATAAGAATATGAAAACTTCTGTCTTCTATTTCTGGGATTGATTGAGATAATAAGTCTTCTTGAAATCTCTTCCTTTACTGTAGAAACTTCTTGATTATTCATCTTATCTATATACAGTTTTGATTGTTAAGACCTTTAGTTAGTGGATGCTATTTCATATGTACTGTGCACAAATGTTATTCTGCCCATTTCTATGGTATATGCCTTTGAATGTTTAAAACATATGAATGGCGCTATACAAGTGCTGTGGATCATCATCATCATCATCATATGAAGTAGCTATTTCACTATTTATCAAATAATCATTTTTATACTCTGCCTTTTGTTTTTGTATATATTAGCATGACCCCGAAACTGAAATGCAGCTGGCCGTATCACAGAGTAGATTCAATGAACTACAAAACATGTGTAGATACTGTGCATCTAAGATGGAAGCTCATATTCGTAAGTTCAAATCACTTACTTCATTTTAGAAAAAATAATTAGAATTCAATAATAATAACGTTAATAATAATGATAATGTTGATAAAAATAATGTGCCTTGTTTACCCGTGGTATTTTCATCAGTATTAAAAGTATTCTTCCTGAGGGCACTGCAATCATAACATTACCCCGGCTTTATACTTTATACACAAATGACAGCAGAGGCTCCAATCGGTATCGTTGGTGTAGTTTTTATGATTCAGAAAGGCAAAACTTTCTAAGAAGTAAATAAGAACAATTTCAAGATGTCTGTCTTTCACTTTGAAACTGGTTTGAAAGACTTGAAGGAGATTTCGTCAATGTGAATCCAATATTTAAATAAAGATGAAGTATCCTCTTTGAACAATTCTTCTCTACTTTTCTTAAGGAATAAGGGAGATGATTGGAAAATATCGCTTCAACATCATGTCTGAACATGCCCTTTAATTGCTTTGTATTGCCTGTACCTTTACTTACATTGTTGTTGTTTATTTCACAGTGATTCATGATTTGTTGTACCTCATAATTTTATTATTGTTACCATTTCTGTAAAGTCAGATGGATTGGAAAAGAAGACCTTCGGGTGACAGTTATTTAGTTAATCTTTTTCCTTTCCTGGCATCCATGTGACTCTTTTCCAAATGTGCTCTTGTTTTGTATTCAATAATTTTCTTTGCCTTTGCCGAATAAAAAATAATAAATGATAATGATAATAATATATACCGGTATGTTTATTTGATCACAACATTTCAGTACAAATGCAGGATGGCTTGCTGCAGCTCAACCTACAGACAGATGATGAGCTGTTTGTTTCGTTAGCGGGACTCAAACAGGTATGAGCTTGGTCTTTAATTGACTGCAAATATCATGAAACAGAGTATTTGTCAGAAATTGTACTGAACAGCAATGAATATTTGTTATGAACATGCCAATGTGATGAGCTGTTTGTTTCGTTAGCTGGACTCAAACAGGTATGAGCTTGGTCTTTAATTGACTGCAAATATCATGAATGAGAGTGTTTGTCAGAAATCAATATTTGTTATGAACGTGCTCATGTAATGAGCTGTTCCTGACATTAGTTGGATGCAAACATCTACAGCTTAGTGCAAGGAAACTGGATATAATAAACTGTTCACATTTGCAAACCAAGATGATACCTAGGTATGAAACAAAATTAATTAACCCTCACAGAAATTAAATATTTGATACTGCAATCAGTAGCTATATGCTAGAGTCATATTTATATAATAGTGGATGGCTTTGAGTGTGATACAAGAATATATTGTCACACAAAAACAAAGCAATACAATATCATTATTATTATATATATCAGGCTGCACTAGTGAAATAACTAAATTTGACTCGATAATCAAGCAATATTGTAACGACAGTTGAAGTTTCCGGATGACAGAGTAATATTGATCAGTCATCCGGGTACTGCGCTAAAGTTATTAAATACACAGATTTATTGTACCTCTTGGAAGCCTTATATAGATAAAAATACAGTTTCTTGAAGACCCACTCAGTTATGGATAATGAGTGCTATATAAGAAACAGATGTAACTATATTATGATGCATTTGCAAGTTGCAAACAAAGTTTGAGAAAGGGGGAACGTGGTTTGCTACTCCATTTGCTTGGTAGTCGATATGTATTGTTTTATGTTGTTGGATCAAGTTTGCATACATGACACTAGGAGCAAATGTTTGATCCAATTTTTTTCCTCTCTCTCTCTCTCTCTCTCTCTCTCTCTTTCTCTCTCTCTCAGTTGAAAGATATCATGAATGGTAAGTTGAGATTCACCCAAGGTCTCATAGATCCTGATGAAATCAGCATTAATGATAATCACTACTCACATGGAGAAGGGGCGGAGCAACAATCAATCCCTCAGGATAACCAATCAGATGACACCATCCATACCACAAACAACAACAGCAACGCTAATGCACCAATCACATCCATCCAAAGTAGTTCAGAGGTGGAGCCTGATAGCACCTCAAGAGAGTCACCTGTGAGTGGCAGCACTGAGCAGCCAATCACAGCCAGTCTTGGCACTGAGGGGGAGGAGTCACAAGATAAGTCTGCTGTCATTGGTGAGAGGAATGCAAGGGTGAATCCTTTCAACACAAATGGAGTAAAAGATAAGGAACTTGTGTCTGGTGGACTTGACGAAGAGGACCAGGAAAATGGAAATGCAAAGTGCAATAGCCACCCTTTGTTTGACTCATAACATAAACTTTGAAAATACAAACCACGTTGAACTATGACATTAGACAGTCATATATCTACATATGTGCACATGCTGTAAATAAGAATTAAAGGGATGCATCTATATAAAGAAATATTATTGTTGAACGAAAAACAAAGATGACAAATATTATATTTTCATTGTATCACAGAGAAAAACATGCCTGTACATATATTTTCAGCTGGAATAGTTTGAAAAAAAATATATATATATATTTGTGTTAATAGCACTCATTGAGATATTTACTGGTTTTCTTCACATGCAAATCAGGTCATGTCCTGGTGTATGATAACTTTCCGAACACATTATCTTTGAAAGAAACAATTAAGTTTCATGAACATGTATATGATATTTAGTTTTAAAAGTAAGAATCTGTTCCATAGTAGTGGTTGCAAGCAAATATAGTTTTAGAACAAACTTTATATGAACAATTGAACAATTTTGCTATCCGTTTACTGATCTGTAAATCCTTCATAGTGCCAAGAAAGCAAGCAGAACTCAAGATTTATTGTCAAAGGGTGGATGTATGAGCTTCAAATAATAACACAGCAATCTGAGGAGTGTTGCTGTTATCTTGTATAAAACATGTCTCACAATACTGTATATGTGTAGAAATGCACCTTGAAAAAAAACAATGAATTTTTTATTTAGTGTTTAATCCATTGCACATCTTTTGTTCCAATTTCAATGACTATGCATTAAGTAGGTGCTTAGTATGTACAAAAATAATAATTATTTTCTCCTTTTCTTTTAATTAATGGAAATAGATCAAAGCATATAATATTCCAGGTTACTTGAATTTAATGATCCGTTGGCTCTAGTTAAAGCAGTTTAATTCTGTCATTTGTTTTAATATGAGCTATTAGAAATGGTGATGATGACAATTTTTTTTCTTTTTCGTTAGCAATACTTCTCCATATGTTAACATTGCAGCTTTATGTTTTGAGGTAATAGTTACTGCAGTCACCCAAGTTTGGTTTGTTATCTCTGGAACACCCTTTGAATGTTTTGACGGTGCAGAATGAAACACTTGTCAAAACAGTACATCTGTTTGTAATGTAAGATCGTTCATCATTATTGTACATGGTATAGCTGTATAATTAGGTTAAATCTTTCAGTAATTTGAAAGTATGATATTGTTTCTGTCCCTCTTAACCTTCTGTGTCTCTCCATCTCTCTGTCAGCCAATATGCTCTTCTTTTTCCTCTCTCTCTGTCTTGTCTCTCCCACTCTCTCCCTCTCAACCCCTCTCTTCTTTTCTCAAATACTATAAAATGAAAGATGTATATAGACATTCCATTGTAAAGTTCAAAAAAATCATAGATATGCAACAACAACAAACAATTCAGATTATTTTAAATAAAGATGATATTGTTATTGCAGAGTCCTAGTAAATTTGAAACCGTGTGCACAGTATATGAAACTTGTATAGCACACACACACATAAATCCAATAAGTATTTGATCTACAGTCTGAAATTTTTCCAATATTAGTAGTAGGAAGTGATGATACAATAGATAAAGCATTGGTACAGCATTGGCAGACAAAGAGAGAGAGTAACAAAATGCATGTATCTCGTACAAAACAAGTGTGCCATGATATTTATATAATATGGACTGGCCTTGAGGGAGATACCACATAATATTTCCCAAACTAGACTCATATTGCCCCGAGTCAAAGACGAGAGCAATATGGGTCTTGTGAGGGCAATATATGTGGTATCTCCTGAAAGTTAAGCCAGTCAATATTGTTATTATTATCCAAATCAGACATCTAGAGCAAATAAATAAATGACAATCTCACTGTGCATCCAGCTGCTTGACACAATTTTTGATAAAATGCAAACAGTGTACCCAATTTGGTGTGATTATTACATCACAATAGAGTGCGCACAAAGTGTGCTGGTTCTCGTACGCATAAAAGATGCGCACTGAAAATGACACAATACGACGCGGTGAATATGAGACTTTATTTCATGCTTTTTTAACACGTAAAGTGCATAAGCTTTTTCATGAAAGGTAAATATGGTCTCATATTCACTGATTAGCCCTTTTAGGATTACAAACGAGTGTAATATGATTTTGTAAAACCACTGCTCAGATGTCTGATACGGGTAAGAATAATTAATATCCAGAATCCATAGGATTATTAAAGTAGCTTATGGAATGTACTGGGAAAGGCAACCGTGACATTGTAGTTGTAAATTTTAAAACCAACAGAGCAGCGCTGAAAGTTTTCGGTAGTGTAAGTTAAATTAATTTTTTATTTGGATAGAGTTTATATCCTTAAAAGTATTGCAAGGAGGGATGAATAAATAGCTACATGGACAAGTCTGGTAGAAGGTCAAGGATTTTCTTGTTTTAAAGTACAAAATTACTTGGGAATTAAAGTGTGTGAACTTATCAACATATGAAATTGATAACGAATGTGTGTGTCACTGACAGATACAAAAAATCATATGTTTCGTGTTATGAATTGCATGCTTAAATTTTTGTACGTATCAGGCTAGCGAGCCAATCCAAGAAAAAAAATAGCAGAAGTATTTTTTATGTGCATCTTGTTAAGATTCTTAAACATATCCACCATTTTATTACAAAACAAGTATTTTCAGATATATTCTCTTCATGCGAACATTTATTTGCTTACCTTATCTTATTTTTCTCATTTTCACCTCTTTGATGTCAAAAAGAGAGGGATTTTTGCACCACTATTCCCATCCATGATATATATGTATTGTGGTATTGCATTTATAGGAAGGAAGTAGAAAGTGAAATATTGTAAATCACTTTATGATATTGGGAAACCTTTTTACAAGAATTCAATACAGTTGATTAATTTTTAAGTGCTAATATTTCTTTGAACATGTTTGTGAAAAAGAAAAGAAAATGATTGTTTTGAAGCATTTATTAACCTGTAATTGTGTGCTCATGAGTAATGCATACCTAGTGCTGTACTTTGTCCTTATTTTGTAATTTTAAATTTTATATAATTTGATTTAACACGTATTAAAGAGATAGTTGAGTTCTATTTTCAGACCGCAAATGCCTTCACAGTGCATGGTTATTGCTCTTATTCTTATCTATGACATTTCTAGTGCCCTTTTTGAACCTAAAATTACTATGAAGGTAATTTTAGACCCCAAAATGTGAAGTTTAGCCAATACGATCATACCAATTCAGCTCCACTTTCAACAAAAAAATGGTGACCGTTAATTATTATTATTATTTTTTTTTTTAAATACATGGGCCGGCTGGTTGTGCGTAATAACCAACATGAAAATGCCAACAAAAAGCCAACATCGGCATTGGCTGAAATACGACGTAAAAGGCATAATTTTTCAAATTATCTAATATTTGTGGTGGTACACAAGTATTACAAATTGTTATATTAATGGATATTTCAGCCGTCTTTGAAATGATTTTGATCAAACAGATGATTTTGTCATTTAAATTGTATGTTCTTTCAAATTTTTGACACTCAGTATTTCATTATCTCACAAAATTATTTTGTGTAGCGCCCTCTGCAACAGAACTCAACTATCCCTTTAAATACGTTGAATGTTGAGTAGGGTATCGAATATAATGTGCTTTATTGCTATTCTATGCATTTATTAAAGAGGTTCATGACTTAAGGCATTATTTTCCATGTTATATTTCATCAAATTGTAACTTTTAGTCATACTTGACAAGCACTGATATTGATTTAGAGATTTTATTAATCTGGTAGAAGGGAAGTAACACAGGACTAGCAAAGTTGATTCTGATATTTTTAAAAGTATATTAAAGACATCTTTCTTGCTATCGTTATCACCAATCAAGAGGGCAAGAAGTGTTAAAATCATATGATTATTGTTGGTTGGAGGATTTGTTAGGATTTAAAAAATCATTGTGTTATCGATGGTACTATAACAGCATTTTTCAGAGTCTTCAAAGACTATTTTCAGGACCATAAACATCATTATGTGCAATGATTTGAAGAAAGAAAAAAAAAATCTACTTTGCATAGTATTTGTTGCAGATTTTTCTAATGACCTTGGCCCGAAGTCACAAAGGAGATTTAAATTTAACCCATGGTTTAAATATTCATTTACATAACCCATGGTCTAAAATTAGCCCAAAATAAGTGGACACAGTTAGAGGTCTAATATTAGACACGTGCAAGGCAAGGTACGCTTATTTTGCGCTAACTTTTAAACCATGGGTTATGTAATTGAGGATTTAAACCATGGGTTTAAGTTATTCCTCCTTTGTGAATTTGGGTCCTCATGTCTGTGACATATTGCAATTTCTGTTTTGTTTTGACATCTTACATAAATGTTATAGCATTGAGATAAGATTGTCAATGTTGAACCATATATTGTTTGATAAAAAGAAGTATTTTATTCAAATTACATTGATTAATCCAAGAGATTTTAAAGAATATATATATATTAAAGAGCAACGTTGATCAGAAATTATATTAACTTGTTAAAATTGTATTTTGTTGAGGATGGCTTAGAAATATTTTCCTATTGTTAGTGTAACTTCCATCTTTATTAATGACGGGTCATATGTTTGTCCTTTTGTTGTGATGGTGTCTTGAAGTGATAAGCAACGGCATTACTCACATCATTTCAAATACCACCATCATCATCATAATCACCATCACTATCACCACCATTATCATCATCACCATCACCCTCATCTTCATCATCACCACCAGCACCTCACCATCATCATCACCACCATTTCCATCATCATCATCATCATCATCACCACCACCACCACCACCATCATCATAATCGTCGTTATCATCATCACTATCACTGCCATTATCATCATCACCATCATCTTCAGCACCACCACCAGCACCACCACCACCATCATCATAATCAACGTCATCATCATCACTAGCACCACCATTATCATCATCATCATCATCACCACCACCACCACCACCACCATCATCATCCATTATCATCATTACCATCTTCATCACCACCACCACCATCACCATCATAAGCGCCACCACGGCACCACCATCATCATAAGCGCCACCACGGCACCCCCATCATCATAAACATCGTCAACATCCTCATCATCACCACCATTATCATCACCATCAACACCACAATCATCATCTTCATCACCACCACCTTCATCTCACCACCATCATCATCTTCATCACCACCACCTTCATCTCACCACCATCATCATCTTCATCACCACCACCTTCATCTCACCACCATCATCATCTTCATCACCATCACCTTCATCTCACCACCATCATCATCTTCATCACCATCACCATGTTCATCACCTCCCTCTGTCCTTTTCCTAGACTAAAAACGGCCAAGTCATACTACTCTTTAAAAGACGGTATGTAAATATCTCTCCTGATACATGTGCTTAAGACATACATAAACTTACTGTTTACACTCTTGGATAAAGGTACACTAAATATAAAAACAGATAACCACATAAATTCAAACACTGAATGAACCGTTTCTTATGAAGTCAAATTTATAAATAATCATGTCACATTTTGTCATTTTTGTGGGTGCTAAGTAGACAAAAAAGAGGAAAACGATATTGTAACGCCTTTTTTTCGGTACGATATTCATTTAGTTTGAAACGTTCTAAAATTTGGTGTCAACATACAATTCTACTTCCCACAAGAGAATGACTTTAAAAATGTGGAAAAAGTACCTTTCATTTGTCTAAATGTAATCCGCTAAAAGAGTTTGATGAGATA